TCAAGGTGAGGGTATGAGGAGCAATCCAAGAGCTGTGGACCTGTGCTGTCTTCCATGGCAGAAGCCCACGTGGAAGCAAATGAGTGCAGCTTTGTGAGCATTCATCTTACTTCTCCAGCTGTGTGTTGCCATCTGTCACCCTCGAGGCAAGAACTCAGGCTGAGAGAAATGACGGACTGCAGTATAGATAGTAAGTGGCAAGAGGCTCTCGAATTCAAAGTTTTTGTGAACTGACCAGGGTTTCTGAGCACTCTAATACTTTCATGGCTTTGCAAACTCGCTGTCCAGCAGAAGAGTGGGCCCAGGAAGATGAGGGATGGAACACTGTCGCCAGATCTGGTGTTTCAGAAACCAGGCACTGTGGTGCACACCTACAAGGTAACAACCCTCTGACAATCCCAGCAACTTGGGAGGTTGTGACAGGAGGATTGCAAGTTCAAGGCCAGCCTGAGCAACTTGGCAAGGTCCTAAGCCACTTAGTGAGATCCTGTCTCAAAAAATAAAAAGGGCTGGGGATGTGGCTCAGTGGTAAGTGTCCATGGTGGTACATTGTTAAAAACCTCAGTACCAAAAGAAAAAGAAGGAGCTTGAGATCCAGAATACTGTAGTCTGATGTTTAAAGTTCATTGCCTATTAAAATTTTTCATGGGCTGGGGTGTGGCTCAGTGGTAGAGTACTTGCCTAGCACGTTTGAGGCCCTGGGTTCAATCCTTAGCACCACATAAAGATAAATAAATAAAGGTACTGTGCCCATCTACAACTAAAAAAAATTTAAGAAACACCTTTTCATGATCCTATTATTTCAGCATAATCTATATGATGTGAGACGTCGATGGTTTTTTGTGCTATGGATTCTGGCCCTCAGACTAACTTGCTTCATGGGAGAACTAGCTGGGATGTGAACAGACGCCCTATAAAAGAGGGCCAGGCTCACATCCCTGAATGGTGGTATCAGTAGTCATTGCTGCCACTTGTCCCAGGTGCCTCTGCTCTCCCCAGCCCTTGGGTCACCCAACTGGCTCATTGGTGTGGTGTGTGCAGTGCCCCATGACGACTGTCCTTCCTCTCACCTGACCATGGCACTCTTGACCTGTCAAAAGATACTAGGGACTCTCATGACTGAATGGCAGGCAGAGTATCCCAGGTAGAAACCTACCCATGGGAGTGGATCAAGCCACCGGCAGCAGGACCATTCCCAGTGGAGTCAGCCTTTCCATGGGTGACATGGTGCAGAACCTCATCCATTAAGAACATTTTTCTGTTTATACACAGCAGAGTTCACAGGAGAGAGGACCCTGTCCAGGACTGGGTATCTGTGAAGCTGTTCCAAGGGCAACCACCCTCTTCCAGCATGGGAGCACCTGAGCAATGAGAATCCCCTAGAATGGCACGTTGGGAGTCCTTGTCTCTTACATTGCCAGAGCCACGTACAGGGGAGCACAGACAAAAAACTGAGAAGGGAAGACCTTCCTCCACAGCTCCAGTTGGTGATACCAGGTGGCCATGCCAGACAGAAACCTTCCCAGAGCAGCGGCTTTGGCCACCTGAGGACTCACCAAAGAGACTTTGAATTCTTGGTGTGCAGAAAGGCCCTGGGGAGGAAACCAACCCTAATCAATGACCAAAAAAAAAAAAAAAAATTACACTTGGGAAACATCCTCTGTGTATAAGGAACGGAGGAAGCTTTCAGTCACCTCTCCATGTTAAGAAGACTGTAGAAAGTTCCCATCAAAAAGAGGCCCTACCAGTTTGGTAAAAAATGGGAAGACCCTTTTATCACTAGAGGATGCAACAGAAAGTGTATGGGAGCAAACATAAGCCAGACCCTGCCCACAGCGCCTGGCATTCTAGGCCACATATCATCACCGTTTGCTGTTGCAGAAGTCATCTATGTCGGCACCCATTCATCTATTCACTAACCTGGTGGCTCAAAACCACATGTCCTAACTCATAGTCTCTGTGGCTCAGAAACCTGGGTGCCCTTGTCGGAGTCCTCTTTCTTAGAGCCCCTTGGTAGGTTGACATCCAGATGTCGACTGGGGAAGGTCTGCTTCCAAGCTTCCACATGGTGTTAGCAGCATGTAGCTCTTTGTGGACTGTTGAATGCTGAGAGGGAACAGGTTTTTGGGTGACACTAACTTTGAGTCCCACTGACAGAAGAGTGGCTAGGAAGAGATCTTAGTCCAGGGAAAGATTGGGGCTCGGTGGACTGCCTCACGTGGTCTGGATAGCCAGGGTCCCCGTGGGCCCACAGCTAGCCCTGAAGAATGGGGTAGTTTCTTTAAGAACCTCCCCAGCAAGAGTGAACCCTTGCCCAGTGCATGTCCCACTTGACTAGCTGTGTCTCCAGGGACCTGCCCAGGACTCATGACTCATGGAATCTGGAACCCAGCCGGCAGGTGTCATTGCCTCAGGCCTACTGAGGTCATCGATAACTGATTGCCATAGAAACATGGGGTGTGAAGACTGGTGAACTAGGGGAACATGGCCATCCATTCTGAAGGCGCATGAAGACATGTTCCAATAATGGCCAAGTGGGATAAGGGCGTGTAGAACGCAGGACCTACAGAGCTGGGGGTCACCCAGAACTGAAATCCAACTCACTGTTTTTTGTTTCCTAAGTGGTTCACCTCACAGCTATTGCTGTACTCGTAGCAAACCCAAGACAGCAGGCAGAGCTTTTAGTCTGGAGAGTGGCTCATGTGAGTAGTGAGGTTTCTAGACTTAATTGCAAGGCATGACTTTAAGCATCACACATGTAGTTGTCACCCAGCAGGTCTGTTACCTTTTCTTTTATATATATATTTCACTTGTTGATAGACCTTTATTTTATTTATATGTGGTGCTGCGAATCAAACCCACTGCCTCACACATGACAGGCAAGTGAGCTACCACTGAGCCACAGCTCCAGCCCCTGGTCTATAACTTTTTTATGTTTGTGTGTGTACTGGGGATTGAACACAGGGGCCTTCAACCACTGATCCACACCCCCAGCTCTACTTTGTATTTTATTTAGAGACAGGTGAGTTGTTTAGCACCTCGATTTTGCTGAGGCTGGCTTTGAATTCACGAGCCTCCTGCCTGAGCCTTCCCAGAGGCTGGGATTACAGGTGTGAGCCGCTGCACTTGGCTAGGTCTCTTACTTTTTAAGGAGTTGAGAGAAAGCACAGTGGAGTTAACATGGTTCTCCCTGATCTCCTGGTTTTGGAAGAGTCAAATATTTGAATTTTTATGTGACTTTTGTTTTATAAATGTGGGAAAATATTTCTGGAAAATTCCAATACAAATTTAATTCAACAAAATCTTTAAATTGGCTATACAGATGCATCTCAACTTAGGATGGGACTGTGTCCTGATAAACCCATTGAAAACATCGTGTTTCCCATGTGCTTTTCCCCTGTGGGGCCAGCTGTCTCCAGTACACAGCAATAATGCACACAGTGTGAGATCAGTGAGAAGACTCAGGCTTGAGCTCAGGGAGAGCATCTAGTACTTTCTTTCCATATGGTGCTCTTCTCTCTCCCTCTGAAGGGTTCAGCTGATGGTGGGGCTATGATATGGGCCCTGCACAGATCTTGCAGAATAACTAAACACTAGACAAATGTCCCTGAGGCCCACCTGTGTACCCGGCCCTTGCCTTTGACTGGAGTATACCTATTCATCTCAAGCTGATGTGCAATAGAGAGAATTAACACACAGACCAGAGAACAGGAGAATTACAGAAGCTAGGATTCTGAAGAACATTAAAGGGAGATGGCAGAAAGCAATGAACACTACTTCACATTGGTAGCTGGGAAGGCCTTTCCAAAGAGGGGAATTAGGAAATGACCTGAGCATTTGAGAGCAATGAGGTCAGGAGAAAAAGGCAGGGCTTGAGGTCAAGAACTGGGTCATAGTGGCCCTGCAAGCTGGGGTGAGGTGTTTGGTTTATTCTAAGCCCAATGGGAAGAGCTCATTGCACCACAGATTCAGGCTGGGAGAGCTAACACTGGGGACAGGCTGATGTCGCTGGGCAGGTGATGTACTGTTGGTAGCTTCCTGGGATGGAGAAGGTCAGTTCAGAACAGTAAGCTGTGAAGGACACATGGTTAGCCTTCATGCTAGGAGAGTGTGTTTCATCAGTGGGTGTGGAGTCCAAGTTGGACTCTTAAGAGGCTCTACTATGGGACATCCATGGCAGGAGAGGGTGTGACTCATGTGGTGACCACTGCAGGGAGGACCACCAGAGGCAAGACTTCCAGGACATCTGCATTCACTGTAAGCCCTGCATGCCTATAATTCCAGTTACCTGGGGGCTGAGGGACTGTCTTGTGCTGCCTGGGTCTCTGTAACAGAAGACCTACATCTGGGTACTTGTTTTTTTTTTTTTTTTTTTTTGGTTGTTGTTGTTGTTTGGACAGGACTGGGGATCTGGGGATGGAACCCGGGGCTTAGGCATGCTAGGCAAGCACTCTGCCTCTGAGCTGCATTCTCAGCCCTTTTTGAGACAGGATCCCACTTAATTGCCCAGGTTGGCCTCGAACCTGTGTTCCTCCTGCCTCAGCCTTCTAAATGCTGTGCTCAGTACTTTATAAGAAGAGGTTAAGGGCTGGGGTTGTGGTTCAGAGGTAGAGTGCTCGCCTAGCATGCGTGAGGCACTGGATTCGATCCTTGGCACCACATAAAGTAAAATAAAGACATTGCTTTATTTAAAAAGAAGGAGAAGGAGAGAGGTTAATTTAGCTCCCAGTTTTGGGGGTGAAAGTCCAACCAGGCAGCCCTATCTGGCCCCTGGTGAGTGCCTCATGATGGATGGCAGAAGAAATCACATGGTAAGGCAGGAAGCCAGGGACCAGATGGGCCAGTCTCACTTTTTACAAGAACTCACTCTCTGCTCTGGTGCACAGCAGGCCTACATGCAGTTTGCTGTGTGGGGATGGTCTGTGTAGCACGTGGTCCTGGGCGCTCCTGCTCTCCCAGACATACCTTCCCGTGAAGGACAGCTACCGACAACACACAAGTTTAGCTGAAGTGACATTTTATTTATCTTTTGGGGAAACAGTTTCCAATTTTTTTTAAATCACAAGACCCCACAATTTAGAAGATCTGACCCATATATTGATCCTACCATCTCTCTTCGTGGAGCTCTGGAGGGAAAGCCCGGCCACCATGGCTGAAAACCTGTGCAGCGATGAAGGCCACAGTATCCGGAGACACGGGAGCACCAGCTGCAACCCAGAAGCCACATCCCCAGATGGACTGGATCTTCCTTCTCTCAGTCCCAGGACAACAGCTCAAGGAGGCTCAGAATCAAAAACCTGGAGATCACGGACTGCCAGCGTTCCTGGCCACAGAGAACAGCCTGCAATTCCTGATGAGTCTGGAATCCTCCCAGGAAACACAGTTGCTGGAATACTGCGAACGTCTCCCTACGAGTGCCTCAGGCCCTCCACTTTCCTAGACCCCGTTTATATTACTTCACTCAGTATTTCTGCACTCACTCACCTTACCCAACTGGTTTCATCTGGAACTTACCTACATATCCTAGATTTTAGAGATCTGGCTTCTGAGCTGATTCTGCAAAGGCTTCCGAACACAGCTGGAAGATATGGACAAATCCCTGGGAACAAGAGACCTTTTGCTGTCCTTAGACACACTGAGGCCCTCATACCCACCACTGCCTTCTTCAGGCTGAGCTCTGGACCCACAAATAAGCCAGACAGACTACAAGTCTTTCCCTAAAGGACTCAGGAACCAGTGCAAATGAGGCCAACCTCAACTACAGCTATTCTCTTGGTGCCATGAGGGCAAGACAAAAAGTAGGGAGCCCCACAAAAGCAACTTGCTTCATTCATAGCACCCTCTTTCCATACAAGGGATCAGAACCCCCAGTATGAAAGGTGTCAAACTCACTGCCCATATTCCAGAGCAGCAGGAAGTAGCCTGTACCATGGTGTGGCAAGCACCACACTGATAGTTTCAATGGTTTCTGTGAGAATGGGAAATACCCCTGAGGAGGCCCAGCAGAGTCCAGCTCAGCTTCTCCTGGTCAGAGCTGGGTCATGTACTTGCCTAACCTGGCAAGAGGAGGAAAAGTGGCCTGCTATGGGCTCTGCCATTGGTAATTCTCTTCTATCAAGGGAGGGGTCCTGAGGTCAGCTTTCCTGCACAAACTAGGTGACACATGCACACTGTGGGGACCTGCCAGGTGGTGAAGGGGAGATGACTTCAGTCACAGAAACTGGCAATGATAACCATGTCAACAGCCCCAGGCAGGTCAGAGTGCAATGTAGCTCCCAAGAGTTCCACACACCTGGTACACATGGCCATCTCCCCAGGGAACTGGTGGGACATTCAAGGCTTGGCTTCCTTCAGTTAGCATCCTCATAAAGGTCATCATTTTTGTTTTTATTTTTTTTTAGTACCAGGGATTGAATTTGGGGCACTTGACAATGAAGCTGTATCTCCAGTCCTATTTTGTATTTTATTTAGAAACAGGGTTTCCCTGAGTTGCTTAGTACCTCGTCATGCCGAGGCTGGCTTTGAACTCATGATCCTTCTGTCTCAGCTTCCTGAGCCGCTGGGATTACAGGCATGTGCCACTGCACCCGGCCTTTTATATTTTTTTTTATTTGGAGACAGGGTCTCACTAAGTTGCTGAGGCTGACCTCAAATTTGCAATCCTCTGAGTTCACAGCCTCAGCAAAAAGTGAGGAACTAAGAAACTCAGTGAGACCCTGTCTCTAAATAAAGTACAAAATAGGGCTGGGGATGTGGCTCAGTGGCTGAGTGCCCCTGAGTTCAATCCCTGGCACTCCCCTCTCCAAAAAAAAAAAAAAAATGTTGCGATCTTCCTGCCTCCTCTTCTCTGGTTGCTGGGATTACGGGTGTGCACCACCACCACCAGCACAAAGGCCATCTTGCTCTCCTTTCTGGAATGAGTCTTCTTGTGTTGAGCAAGGTGCCAGTCACTGAAGGCTTTCCCACATGCCCTGATCTCCTAAGGCCTTTCTCCAACATGAATTTTCTTATGCTGAAGGAGGGTAGAACTGTGCTTGAAAGCTTTCCCACATTCTGGGCATTCATGAGACCTATCTTCAGTGTGGAATTGCTGGTGTCAGTTGCGGTAGGACCTGGTGGTAAAGGTCTTCCTACACAAGCTGCACTCATAGGGCCGCTCTCCAGTGTGAACTTTCCAGTGCTGATACAGGCCAGAACGGGTCACATAAGTCTTCCCACATTGCTCACATTCAAAAGGCCTTTCTCCAGTGTGAACTCTCTGGTGAAGAATGAAGCTACTGTTATATTTGAAGAACTTCCCACATTCCCTGCACTCATAGGGCCTTTCTCCATTGTGAACTTTCCGGTGTCGAATGAGGGTGGACAGAACGCTGAAGGCCTTCCCACATTTGCTGCACTCATAAGGCCTTTCTCCAGTGTGAATCCTCTGGTGCAGAGCAAGTGCATCTTTGCGGTTGAAGGTTTTACCACATTCACTGCATTTAAAAGGTTTTATGCCTGTGTGAACCTTCTGGTGCTTCCTCAGTTTAGAAGGGTAACTGAAGGCCTTCCCACACTCATCACACACACGGGATGTTTCTCCAGTGTGGATTCTTCCGTGATTAATATGAGTTGACTTCTCCTCAAAGGCAGTTCTGCCTGTTTGGTACCTGAAAGGTTTCTCTTCAGAATGAGTTATCAAGTGGTCGAGGAGAGCAAAGGCCTTCAGGAAGCTTCTCCCACAGCTGCTGCACTTGAAGGGTTTCTGAGCAGCACCGACTCTCTGCTGCTGTCCACAGCTGGAGCTGGATGGGAAGACTGCTCTGTGCCTAGTGCTGCTGCACAGCTTCCCAGGGGTGGCCTGGTGCTGGAGGAAGCCTGTGGTGACTGGGCCATCCTTCACAAACCTCTCATACACAAAAGGCTTCTCTGACAGGTCGACTCTGCAACTCTTCACTTGCTTGGGAGGGGCATCCTCATCCTTCATTCTACACAGACAACCTGAAGTCAAGAAAAAGCCCGTTGCTGCAGCTGGGCCGGAAGGGAGGTACCTTCGTCACCAGTGCACAGCACACCTTCCCAGAAGGGACTCCAAAGAACTGCTATGAGTTGCTGGGAAAGGTCTAGAGGAAGAAAGGCTGCACAAGCAGAACTGGGCTCTACTGACCACAGAATCAGGAAGACCTGGATGGAGATGAGGACACAAAATGGGGTGCAACGCAGGGAAGAAACCTGTGGTCACCAAGACACTTGTATCCAAAGGTTGTCAGCAGGGCCTTGGATGCTGGTGACAGTGAGCACTGTGAAGAGGCAGGTGTTTGTCCCAGCAAAACTGACTACGAAACAGCAGCTGGTCTTCAAAAAACATTTAAGGATACATACATGTCCCACAGGCCACGAGGTGAGGTTATCTAAAGCCTGAGAGTCATGGTACGGAGAAGGCAAAACTGTACAGTGTCCCAAGGGAAAAGGAAGGAGGGAAGAAGGTACAGTCACTGACCTCAACACAAAATGCCAGTGTACACAGGTATCCAGCAGGCCATGAGCCTGTCAATGAAACCAAGGCATCCCCTGCTCCACCAAGGAATAAATTAACAAAAGAAGTGAAGTTGTGTACACTGAAAACTTAAGATGTTGAAAAAGCACTAAAGAACTAGATAAACGAGAAGACACCCCACATTCTCTGATCTAGAAGACTTACGATGGCAGTATGCCCCAGAATGATGTACTGATTCAAGTTCATGCTCCGGCCTGGTCCAGGGAGGGCCCTATAAAATTTCTTGTGGAAAAAGAAAGCACACCTGGAGCCAGGAGGGACATGTCCTCAGCAGTAAAAGGGCCCGAGAGTCAGAGGTGTGGGGGATTCGGGGGTCAAACAGTGAAACAGTTGCCCCCCCAAATCCTGTTCCACGAGGCTCTGGAGCCACAGGTGTTTACAGGCTGCCAAGATGGTGCTCAGAAAGAGGCAGAGAAAGGGCACAACCAGGCCTAGCTCTCTCAGAACCTAAAACAGGGACCCTGGGGAGGAGCAGCCCTGTGGTCCAGCTTTAGCGTGGACAGAAGTCCAGGGGGAAAGGGCCGAGGTGTCAGTTTGCTGGGGGTGAAGGGGAGACTTACCCAGTGAGCTAACGAGCGCAAAGTTCTCCAGCATCACATCACGGTACAGGCCCCTCTGGGTGGCATTAAGGAGACCCCACTCCTCCCAGGAGAAATGCACGGCCACATCCTCAAACATCACCGGGCCCTGCAATGGTGGATTCAGCTGAGACCGGAGGTCAACCAATGGTGGGGGAGAGATTCTGTTTTGGACTTTGCACACATCCAGGTCCTCGCCCGGTGTCTCAAATCACTCACGGGCATTATTTTTCCTGTGAGCTCAACCTTCCCCCAACACACAGACCCTCATACCTCTGCTCTTCCAGGACCCCCACCTCAGCAGGATCCGTCCGACCCGACGGGCGCCCGCCGCCTTACGCACAGGCCCCGCCCCATCTCTCGCCGGCCGACGGCCCTCAGAGGCGCCACCTGCCCTCGCAGGTCCCCGACCCCGGTCCAGGGCGCGGACTCCACCGCCTGGCCTCCCCGCTGCCTCCCGCACCGGGCCCTCCCCTCGGGCCCGTCGTCCTCGGTCACAGACGCTGCCGGCCGGTCCCGGCGCTCACCTGCGCTGGGCCGGCCATGGGAACCGGTGCGCCAAGTGGAAACCTCCCGTTACCTGCCCTCCAGAGCCGGTCTCCCGCGCCCGAGCACTCGGAGTCTTCCCGCCGGGGCCGGGCGGCCACTCCCGGCGCTCGGTCCCGCTCGCCGCGGCCGCACCCGGCCGGCCCCACATGCCGGAAGTCCCGCCCCGCCGCGCGGCCCTGGCCTGGGCGCCGCCGTCTCCCCCGCAGCACCCCGCGCCCCGGGATCGGCGCGCGGGGGTGGCCAAGGCCACAGAGGAGGGCGCGGACTACATTTCCCACAAGCCACCGCGCCGCGCGTCCGTCCGTCCGTCCGGGCCCCTCAGGGCGCTGGAGTGGGCCCGGCGGCTGCGCCCTGGACCGCGCTCCGGAGGCTCCCGAGCCTCGGAACCGGGAATCTCGGCCTTCGTGACTCGTGCGGTGAGCAGCCGGTCTTCAAAAACCATTGAAGGTCCCAGGTCCTGGAGGTCGCACTGCTGGGGTGTCGCCGGGTCGCCCCCTGGGCGTAGCGTCCGCTCTGAAAGTCTAGGCTTGGGGTCCCGGGCAGGAGAGGATCGGAGGAAGATCGGCCGTCGGTTCCCCGCAGCAAAAGCGACAAATGACCCCTGGTAGACCAGTGAGGGGTGCCAGGGAGTCCCCCCTGCGCTTGTCCTCAGCACAATAGGCTCCGAGCCTACCCCATTTCCAGACATGGTGTCATTTCAGAATCGGGGTCTGTCGAAGGAGGGGTGGCACGTGGTTGAGTGTCTTTGGAGACAGGGTCTTGGATATATCAAAGTCAGGAGGCTGTCCCTAATTGAGACCTACTCATGGTCGTGGCCCTGTGTCTCCTGGAAGGAGCAAGGCTCAGAGGAGCATCTGCCTGGGGCTGATGCTGAAGAACTGTGCACTCATGACTTCAGTGCTCACCGTTTTCCTCTGCTTTTCCGGTGTTGCCCTTGGAAGTTGCCACTGGTGCTGGGATGAAGGCACTGCCACCTCCTATTCCTAGCAGCTACATGAGCATCCTCACACATTCTACCCTGGGGTCCTGGGTGGTCAAGATTGGGGGTACAAGTCTAAATCTTCACAGCAGATGATGTCCAGCTCAGTCACTTTGTACAAAACGTCAGGCCCTGCCTGTACTAACATGGTCAATTTTGGGTCTACTGTACTTTTCCTGGGCGGTCTCCTGGACGTTCAGTTTGTGAAGTTCAGTGTTGTGCTCAATGTACAGCTTATTCTTACCCTCTGGTGTTTGTCCCAGGGTGTATTGGCCTCTGCTGGGCAGTATTCTTAAAAATCTGTCATCCCCAAGGTCTGGCTGCTTCAACATTCCACTACCAAAATCAGCTGTGGCAGACAGGCCAAAAGGAGACCTGTCCCTGGTGACCATCCCTCAAGGTGGGTTGATCTCACATCTGCTTCCTGGTCCATGCCGTCTCAGATCTTGGTGAGTCCCTGACTCCTGATTTATTTTTCCATCCTCTTGATAGCTCTCTGAGTCCAGTCCCCTGGCTGTGCCCCTTCTCTCTTAGAGCTCAGCTGTGCAACATTCACCTTTCCTTAACTGTCCTGATCATCATACATCCTCTGATAATCCTTGCAGCCCTATTCCTCAGTGACACCTTATTGTCTCCAGTGGAGGTGGGCACAGGTGAAACTGCCCCAGCTCATGGTCAGTAGCCACATACTGACATAGATGGGTTGTCCCACCTGGAGTGGACTTTCACTAGCTTATTCATACCCCACAGGATTGTCACCTTTAAGCTCCATGAGTTTACCCAACTGGAGTACAGTCAAAGGCACTGATTGATGATCTAAATAGAATTGAAACCAGGGATAGCACGAGAGGTTCAGCTGTGGAGATTGCAAGTGGTGGGGGGAGTCTCCCTGGGGTCTTCTTATACTGGTACCTGAGCTGTCCTTCTCGTGTCTGAATGCCAAGGTCACTAGCCTTGCCAACTTTCAATCTTCCTCCTGATCTGCTGGACAGTCTACCTTCATACCTGCTTACTGATTCCTGTAACTGTCCTCTGACTTGTTTTTGGTACTAGGTATTGAACCCAGGAGCACTTTACCACTGAGTCCTGTTTTTTTTTTGATAGGGTCTTGCTAAGTTGCTGAGGCTGGCATTGAACTTGTGATCCTGCCAGAACCTTCTGAATCACGGGAGTTACAGGTGTTTGTTTACCACTGCGTTCGGCTCTCACTCCCTCTTACTGCCCAGTTCTGAGATGCTGGCTACTCCTTAACATGCTATGGACTGATAACATTTTTTTAAATATTTATTTTTTTAGTTTTAGGTGGACACAACGTCTTTATTTTTTATTTTTATGTGTGTTGAGGATCTAACCCAGTGTCCCGTGCATGCCAGGCAAGTGCGCTACTGCTTGAGCCACATCCCCAGCCCATTGATACCTTTTTAGTCACTGAAAACTGGTAGTTCTGTGAAGTGAGTCTGTCTGCCCCACCAAGGCGCGGGTCATGTAGTCAGTGAGAGGCATCACAGAGTTGGTCCTGAGCCCTGTCAGACAGGTTCCCACTCTTAACCAGGTTCTCTCTTGAGCCTGCATTCACGGCTGTTTGTCCTGCATCCTGGTTCCTCACTTTGGTTTCACTTTTCCCACTTCACATTTCAGGCTGAGTGCTTCCCTAGAGACCACAGAGTCTTACTAAAGAGGGGACAAAGTGACCCCTTCCTCTAAGGTGCTCCACTGGGCACTGGCTGCTGGTGACAGCCAAGCATTGTGAAGATGCTTATGTCACGGGGTGGGTGATGCTGTCCTGTGATCCCAGCAACTCTGGAGCCTGAGACAGAGGATCGTAAGCTCTAGGCCAACCTGGGCAACTTAGTGAGATCCTGCCTCAAAATAAAAAGGACTGGGGCTGTAGTTTGGTGATAAACACCCCTGGATTCAATCCCCAGTACAAAAAAAAAAAAAATCTCAGTTGAACAGGGGGCTGATTTACATCAATTGTGACAGCCTTGCTAAGTCTTAAGTTCCTTGTGTGAAAATTAAAACAATTGGTAAAAATGGTACACTGAAACTCAATGGGAATATCTGGTTGGACCAAGATGAAATGAGTTCCCAAGGCACTCTGAGTCTCTCTTGCCAGCAGTAGTTTGCTCTTCAGGGTCTGAGAAAACTATCCCTGCTCTGCTTGAAAACCCGCGAGAAACTCACCTGGGGCACATGCCCATTCTCAGCAAGAGCCACATGACCTCTACCTAAGGCTGCTAGACCCATAACTAGGTTACATCTCAGCTTCTCGGGGAGAGAAAATGACTTCACATGGAGAAATTTCAAGACTGCCATTAATGCATCAGTGGGAAACTGGAAAATGTGTGAGATGGATTCTCAGGTCAAGGAGGGTGGAATTTAACAACAGGGCTGACATTGTTGCGATTTACTACAATTTCCAATTTGATGTTCTTGCTCAGTTGCGGAAGGCTGAAGAACTGGACTCACTGGTGGCCTGAAGTCAGTGAGACAGAGACGCCAGATCTTCCCTGGTGTGAAGTGGAGGGGAGGCCAGAGGCTTAGAAGGACAGGCTTGCTGGACTGGATTCATCCTGTGAATTGTCTTGTGCTCCAGTCATTAGCTAAATACTAACATCTCTGCTGTAATCCCCAGAACCTGTGACTATGTTATTTTACATGGCAAAATTAATTTGCAGATGGGTTTAAGGTTGCTAATCAGCTGCCCTTAAAACGGGGATTGTATCCTGGATTATTCCTGTGGACCTTGGAAAGCAGAAGAGGAGCAGACTTGGTAGTATGTGCCTCTAGACCCAGCTGCTCAAGGATGTAGGCGACAGGATGGCTTCGCCCAGGAGTTCATACCTGGGCAACCCTGTGAGACACCATCTCGAAAACAAGAACACAAGTGAAAAAGTGAGTGAGAGAGACAATAATTAAAGAAAAAAACAAAAACAAAACTGAGGAGCGATCGAAAGCATGAGAGGAAACCGAACGGCCATTACTGACTCAAGACAGAGGAAGGGGACCACAAGCCAGAGAATGCAGAGGCCTGTGGAAGGGGAGAACGGGGTGCACCGTGGGTGCCATGACGGACAGCCAAGGTCTATGGAATCGTCTCCTGCATGATGAGATAGTGCCGGAGATGACTGGACAGTTAGTCTGCAAGCAAAAGTCTCACTGACGTTACAATTCTGGACCCCAAGAAGGAGGACACAGCCAGAACCAACCGTCTCAATGTGGACTTTCAATGGGTAGAACCCTGCAGGTGTACGACACGAATCTCAGAGAAATGGAAAATTAGGAAACAATTTTTACAAAGAACAGAAGGCAGCATTGCTGGAGCACATGAAAAGATGCTGGGCACAAAAGCAGAATCTTCAAGCCAAACAAATACAAAAAAACTGCCCAGAGCATGATGCTTTGGCAAAAATGATCCAGCACCATCCAGACAGGCACAAGACACTAAAGGAACTGGAGGCTCTGAGGAAAGAATCAGCACACCTTTCACAGACTCAAGAAAGCACTGAAGATAAGCTGGAATTGAGACAGAAACAGCCTCACGTTCTTCTCATACCACTGACACCATTCAGCAAACCCTGGAAAATGACAAAAAGCTCTAAGGCAGAAGCTCAGGAAACAAACATGGACAGGCTGATCCCCATTCCCAAGGGTACTGACAGAGCTGGGTGATCTTAAGTGTGTCTAGAATATCCTAAGATATCTGAAGCTTGGTGGTGACATAATTTGCTCTTACATATTAATGATAATTAATATTAAAAATAAATGAGAACACATTTATTTTAATATAAAGGAAAATAGCTTCAGTGTATATTTGTTTTATTGAAATGAATTTTTCATTTTTAAAAGATAGGCAGCAACACCCACAATCATTTAATAAAGGTCTTCAAACTAGATGTTTTTGCTCATTATTATTCCAGATAGTTTGTTTTTTGGTACTGGGATTGGACCCAGGGACACTCAACCACGGAGCCACATCCCAGCACTTTTTGTGTTTTATTTAGAGACAGGGTCTTGATGAGTTGCCTAGGGCCTCACTCAAGTTGCTAAAGCTGGCTTTGAACTTGTAATCCTCTTGCCTCAGCCTCCTGATCTGCTGGGATTACATGCGCCACTTGGGTAGTTTTTAACTGGTAACATTGATTCCTTATAAAATAAGTTGAAGATGTGAGAAGGTGGCATTTCTAGGATGTATGTAAGAAGATGAGTCAACTTCTAGAAATCACCACTTTGGAACATGAAGTCCATAAATAGGCTTCAGAGGGCCACGAACCTGTGAAATTCTGTGCAAAACGTGTGTGGTGTGCGTTTGTTGTGGGAGAGATTCTTTGATGCTGAGAACCACTGACTGGTATGACCAAGAGCAGCAAAGCAGATCCATCCATGTTCACCACTTCCTCTGTCTCTCTTTAGTACTTGAGGAATGTGGTTGTTAAATGTTTTCTTATGTGCTTTGTCTCAACTGTTTTAGTCTTTAGGACTATTTTAATCAAAAAATATTTGAGGTGAAAAAAAATGGTGAGAATGACCCTCGGGCTGGTGTCCAGCAAGGACATCAAGACCTTTGTTGACAACCACCGGAAGCTGAACTCTGAATCCCAATGAGCAAGATGTCTTTCAGAGCCTCAGAAGGGAGTGCAGCCCTGCTGACCCTCAGTTTAAGTCCAGTGAGCCCCGTGTCGGACTTCTGACCTTAGAAATAGAACTCTAAGGCACGACATCTGTGTTTTGTCTTAAGCTGTGAGATTTGTTGTGGCAGCAATAGGAAACACATCACCATTCCCAACCATGTTCTATAAGAAGAGGAGGGAGGTCTCTTCCACTACTGTGATTGAGAAACGAAGAGAACTTCGGCCATGAAGATCTCTGCAGGCCAGTTATAACCAGAGATGCTGCCACTGGTGTGGGTTCTTAACTATCCAATACAGGTGGGCGTGTCTGCCAGTGGAAGGCCTGGACTGATTGATTACAGTTCTCAAAAATAAATGAGAACCACAATAATGGGAAGTTATTCTCCACGTATGTATAATATGTTAAAATACAATCTATTGTCATGCATAACTAAAAAGAACATATTTTAAAAAGTGAAAAAAAAACAGTGGGGCTGGGGCTGTACCTCTGTAGCAGACTGCTTGCCTAGCACACACAAGGCACTGGGTTCAATCCTTAGCACCACATAAAAATAAAAATAAACAAAGGCATTCTGTCCCTCTACAACTCCAAAAATTTTTTAAAATAGTGTATTATTATCCCATGTGCATATATGACTACATGACTGGTGTCATTCTACATCATGTACAACCGGAAAAATGATAAGTTATACTCCATCTATGTATGATGTGTCAAAGTGCATTCTACTGCTATGTATAACTAACTAGAACAAACAAAAATAGTGTTCATTTGGAAAGGTAAGGCCAAAGTCAGTGGTAAAATAAATAAATGAGCAGTGTGTGGACTATTAAGATAAGCTCTAGTTCTAGTGCCAAAGACATGACGTCATTTGCCAGGAGAGAGTCACAGCCCCTCAGTTTACAGACAGGTCAGCTCACAGCCTTGCAGACACTTTGCCTGAAGACGAGACCAGGTTTTCCTGAGAAAGGACCTGGCATCACTGCCAAAAGCAGGCACCACTGGACTGGGTGCAGCTCAGGGCAGATTGCCTGCCCCACCTGTGCCAGGCCCGAGTTCCATCCCCAGCGCACACACACAATCTCAGTCTTCTTCCACGCCTTCCCAGAGGGACTTGCAGCTAGTTATTAGGGTAACTACACTGGGGAAAAGGATATGCCCAGCCCTTCTGGGGTTTCCTGAACACTGTGTGTAAATTGACAGTTCTTCAAACCCCAAACACCATGATTGTCCTTTAGTTAAAGTGGAGCCCCATAATGGTCCATTGATAGATGGTCTTAACTCAGGTACAACTCTCTCTCTCTCTCTGTGTGTGTGGGGGGCACTGGGGATCTAACACAGATGAACTCTACCACTGCGCTACATCCTCAGCTCTTTTTATCTTGAAACTGGGCCTAAGTTGCTGAGGCTGGCCTCAAACTTGCAATCCTCCTGCCTCAGCCTCCTGAGTCACTGGATTACACTTGCATCACGGCACCCAGCTTCAAGTATCTCTCTGGACGAACTCCTTGGGTTCACTGGCCCACACTGGTTACTTCCCCAGCCACTGAGTACCTAATTGGTATAGGCATACCAATACCTGGCACAACCCACATCACCACGCTGACCCCCAAAGTGAGTCATTTTGCGAGAAGGCTAAATGGAAGCCTCTGTGTATCTAAGCCCTGCCTAGATAGCAAACTAGAAAGAGCAGCACATCCCTGGAAGAAATGCAGATTAGATCCACAGTCAGACTTTAAACAGCAGAGGTGGCTGTGCACATCCCATTGTGCAGCAGTTATCATTTTTAAGAAGTATTTTGTCATGAACCTTTATTTATTTATATATGGTGCTGAGAATTAAAGCCAGTGCCTCACACATTCTAATCAAGTGCTCTACCACTTAGCCACAACCCCAGCCCAGAAGTTAGCATATCTTGATGAATGTGAACCACAGTAATTTTTTTTTTTTGTGTGTGTGTGGTGGTGCTGGGGATTGAACCCAGGGCCTTATGCATGTGAGACAAGCACTCTACCACTCTACTGAGCTATACCCCCAGCCCAACCACAGTAAATTTAATCCAGTGGTGACACCAATTATCCCTGCTGTTCCAGAGGTAGTGCCCTTACTGCAACATGCAACAAGCCCCCAGCGCTGGGCATGCAGCCACTGAAAAGTGGGTGTCTTTTTCTTCACATAGTTTGAAAGGACCACCAGAAACCATTTGCTTTTGCCTGGCCAGACCAATGGTGTACCTTCACACTGGTGCCTCAGGACCTCTCAGTCTGCTCTCTGCCATCATACAGCCCACAGAGCTCTTGATCATCTGGACACTCCAAAGGTGCCACATCAATCACTTTGTTGATGACGTTATACTATGTGCATCTGATAAGAAGTAGCAAGTACTTTAGATACTTAATAAGACACAGGCAAACAGAGTAGGAGAGAAAACCTATCCAAATCCAGGGGCTGCTACCTCTGTGAAGCCCTGCTGAAGTCTGACTGTGGATCTAATCTGCATTTCTTCCAGGGATGTGCTGCTCTTTCCAGTTTGCTATCTAGGCAGGAAATGGATACACAGAGGCTTCCATTTAGCCTTCTCGCAAAATGACTCACTTTGGGGGTCAGCGTGGTGATGTGGGTTGTGCCAGGTATTGGTATGCCTATACCAATTAGGTACTCAGTGGCTGGGGAAGTAACCAGGGTGGGCCAGTGAACCCAAGGAGTTCATCCAGAGAGGTACTGGAAGCTGGGTGCCGTGGTGTCTGATTCTATCTACCACAACAGACCAAAGGCAAAGCACTTGTAAGCCTGTCATGTTTGACTCTACTTCTTTGACTATCCACAGAGTGGTCAAGCTTCCTGTTTGGGATGGGAACCAGAAAGAAAGAAGGCTCTGAAACAGCTTCAGGCTGCAGGGCAGCCTACTCTACTACCCAGCTTGTGATTCAGCAGATTCAACATTTGAAATGTGTGCAGCAAATGAGAATACTGTATGGATTGCAGAAACTCAGGCCGCTGAGGCAGGAGGATTGCAGGTTCAAAGCCAGCCTCAGCAAATTTAGCCCTACCTAACTGGGTGAGATCCTGTCTCTTAAAAAAAAAAAAAAAAAAAAAATAGAAAAAAAGGGCTGGGGATGTGATTCAGTGGTAAAGCACCTCTGGGTTCAATCCCCCGTACAAAAATAAATAAATAAATATATAAACAAACAAACAAACCAGTATGGAGCCTCCAGCAAGTAGCAAAGCACAACAGGATTTAGGAGCAAGTCTGTACCTTCTCTACCTTGGAGAGACTTTCTAGCTTGCTACTGCACCTTTAGTAGCAAATGAATGCCTATGAGCCATCAGGCAACCATGTGGCCTTAATGCCATCATGAGCTGAGTATTGTCGGGCCCTTGTAGCCCTGAGTCAGCTGGGCACATGCAACAATCTGCTGTTTTGTGAAAATGGTCTGTTAGAGATCAAGCCTCAAGACTTGTGGAGGGCTCAGTGGCAGAGCATTTGTCCAGCATGGGCAGCTCCCTGGGTTCAAATCCTGTACTGAGAAGAACAAAAAAAGACTTGACTGAGGAAGAAGAGAGGGTACATTTATAGCAGAAAGGGGCCATATCACTAACCAAGCCAGGGACAGATCAATGGGATCCGCTGGGCACACTGAAAGCCCAGCCCCCAAACCTTACCCCATAAAACCTGAGGTGACAGCTGCTGAGGCTGCTTTCAGGGGCACTCAAGGGGAGCCAAGGACTGCGTGTGCACAGCCCCAGCACCCACAGCACCAGCCAAGGGAGCAGCGAGTGGTCCGATGTCGGGCTGCACTGGCCTTCCCAAGTTCCCAGGGGTGAGGCAGCGTGCTGAGGAGGGCAGGAGGGACGGACTCAGTGAGCTTAAGAGCTCAAGGCTCTCCAGCATCACCCCGTGGCACAGGCCTCTGAGCACACTGTGAAGCCTCTCCTCCTCCTGGGAAAAATGCGTGGCCACATCCTCAAGTGTCACCAAACCCTGCAATGGATGGGTTCAGCCGATCCTGGGGGCAGAAGTATGGACAGATAGACCCTGCCAGGCCCTTGACTGGGAAGGGTTCTGCCACACTTCCACTGCATCAAACTTCCCCAGAGGCCCACAGCACAGTGCACATATCCTGATTCCACCTTCCTTCAGACCTGTTTCAGTCACCTTTTCACTGCTGTGACCAGAAGACCTGACAAGAAGAAGTAGAGAAGGAAAAGTTATTTGGGGGGTTTTCCTTCATAGATGGCTACTCCATTGCTTTGGGCTTGAAGTGAGGAAGGACATCATGGCAGAGGGTGTGGCAGAGGAAAGCAGCTCAGGGTAGCCCGGAAGCAGAAAGCTCCATTCCACAAAGACACAATATAGGCCCCAAAGGCTGCTCCCAGTGACCCACCTCCTCTAGCCACACCCTACAGTTACCCCTCAAGTGGATTAATGCACCAATTAGGTCAAGGCTTTCATAACCCAATCACTTCACTTCTGAACCATCTTGTATTGTCTCACAGCTGAGCTTTGGGGGCCCCTCATATCTAAACCATAACAGCCTCTACCTCCGAGGGTCTGGTTGCTTCTTACTTTACTATTAGACACTGTGTCCAGTCTGCAGTAACAATAGGCAGGTGACCAGCCTCCCAGCAGCTGGGGAGGCTGAAGCAGGAGGATGGCAAGTTCAAAGCCAGCTTGCAGAACTTAGTGAGACCCTGTCTCAAAGTAAAATATAAAAAAGGGGGGCTGGGGTTGTAGCTCAGTGGTAGAGTGCTTGCCTAGCATGTGCAAGGCGCTGGGTTCAATCCTCAGCACCATGTAAAAATAATTAAATATAAATAAAAGTATTGTGTCCAACCATATATATATATATATATATGTATATATATATATATATTTTTTTTTTTTTTAAAATAAAAACATATAAAATAAAAAGGGACGCAGTTGTAGTCAGAGGCTGGCCTAGCCTGCAGGAGGCTCTGTGTTCAGTCCCCAATAGGAAGGAAGGAAGAGGCAGGAAAAGAATAAAGGAGAAAAAAGGAAAGCCCGAGGCTCCAGGGACAGCAGACACACAAGCCCACAGAAGGAGAGTCAACCCAGACCCAGGCCCTGCCGACACTCTTACCTACCTCATCGCCATGCCACGGGCTCCATCCCCAGTCACTCGCCCTTCAGGAGAGTTGGCTCCCACCCCTGCTCTGCATCCCTCTCCTGATACAGGCGCCCTCCACAGAAGGCACTGTGACACCAGCACCTTCCTGGTTTAAGAACTAGACAGCTGTTCTCACCGTCCAGACCCTTGGGGCACTTATTGCCCCCCCCCCCCAATCCAACACCTAGGTGCGTTCTGGTCCACACAGCAGTTCTGACTACTCAGAAGTCTCCACCCAGGAGAGCTGAGAGCTTCTGCCCACGCAGAGCCGCCACTCAGCAGCCTCTGGGACATCTCGCAATACTGGGCACAAACCCAAGCCTGGACCTTCCTCCTGAAACACAGACTGGGCTCTCAGTGTCAGTGGTTACCCCACCCTTTCCAGAAACAGTGTCAGAGAGCATGTACCAAATGCAGGACACAACGCCCCACAATGTCTGGCCCTGCAGGGAGCAGGCTTGCAGCACCACGCGAACTACATTACCCAGAAATCCGGGTCCCATGACACCCTGATGCTCGACAATGCAGAAGGCCCAGTCTCAGACAAGCTAGTCCTTAGAGGCAAAACAGATGAATGGCTTACCCTGTTGAGGGCAGGCAGGAATGGGATTTGACTGCTAAGGAGTATTAAGTTTCTTTTAAAAAAAATGTTGTTTGATACTTTAAACCACAGCTCTGCTGTCCATGAATTGCATGGATGGGCAAATTAAAAAAAAAAAAAAAAGCTTCAATAAAGCTATATTTAAAAAATAAAAAAGTAGGTGCCCAGAGCGATGGTGCATGCCTTTAGTAATCCCACCCTCCCAGGAGGCTTAGGCAGGAGGATCCCAAATTTCAGGACAGCTTGGGCAATTCAGCAAGAACCTGTCTCAAAATAAATTTTCAAAATGGTTTGGGGTGTAGTTCAGTGGTAGCCCATGGGTTGAACCAGAGTGATTAAAATATGGCAGGGGCTGGGGTTGTGGTTCAGCGGTAATGCACTTGCCTGGCATGTGTGAGTTCGATTCTCAGCACCACATATAAATGAATAAAATAAATCAACTGTAATGCCAGATTCGTGGGACCCCAATAGACCTCCAGGAGCCGAATCCAATGCAATCACACAAGAGTCTTTATTGCAAGCTCAAGCCTGGACTCACAACAACGGTTCCCAACACAGTGATCCCAGTCCTTTGTCCAGGGAGATTTTATAGGTTTTGTGGGGATACTCTATCCATACCATGGGAAAATCAAACAACAACTCTTAACATTGATTAGCACATTCACTGGCGGGAACAAGATGGGTAAAGGTGATTGGCTAGTACAAGAGGGGGGTTCCTTTGAACTGATTGGTTTAAGCCTCGAGGGGTGTACTTGCTAAATGACATGGTTTCCCAACATGTTACCAATCACTGTAAACTACTGGGGGGTCACCTGGCATCCCAGGTATTTTCCCTGTCTCATGCTGATTGGTGGTTGCTAGGGGGTTGCTATGGGTCCTCACCTAGCCTGACCCAGTCAGGGACACCTGGTGCAGCAGATCTTATTATTTACAGACAAACAACTCAGCAGGGAGCCTAGAAAGGCTCTGTGGGTTTTTCCAAGGACAAGGGTCACGCCCCCTTCCTTAGGACAGGCCTTGAGGTAGAAGCTGCTGTTATTTATTTATTTTCTTTTACAAATTTTTTTAGACTTTATTATTTATTTATTTATTATTTGTATATGGTGCTGAGGATGGAACCCAGGGCCTTGTGCTCTACCGCTGAACCACAACCCCAGCCCCTGTTTATTTATTTTCAAAAATGGAGTCACATCAGTTTCTTACAACAACTAGAAAATACCTATTAAAAAATTTTAAAAAATAAAAAATATGGCAAAGGGGCCTGGGAATGTGGCTCAGTGGTAAAGTGCTTGCCTGGCGTGCATTAGGCCCTGGGTTCAAATCCCCAAGCACCAAATAAATAAATGACAAAGAACCAGAGAGATTCATTGTTAGAATCTGAGCAGCCAGGCAGGATGCTCAGATGCCTGAAGCAGGAGGATCCCAGGTTCGAAGCCCAGCCACAGCAACTTATAGCAAAGCTCTAAGCAACTTAGACTGTCTCAATATAAAAAAGGACTGGGTAGTGGCTCAGTGGTTAAGCACCCCTGGGTTCAATCCCTGCTACCAAAAGAAAAAAAAAGGAAGTATTCATCCCCAGGGAGCAGGGGATGCAGGTGACTGTCACTCCCTAGGATGGGGAAGCCAAACCCTGCTCCTTCCCATTGACGCCAGAATTAGACAGGCAGTCTGTGTAGACAGGTAAATAGAGTCAGGTCCAGGTCCGGTCAAGGAGGCCAATTTTGAGTGAGTCTGGGAAGTTGGAGACTGTCCCCTGAGGGATCTTACGAAGAACCTGCCCCTGCTCCAATCTGTTGCCAAGGTAACCCATCCCAGGAATTTCCCCTCCCTACTGGGAGGGAAAACGCACGCCAGGAAAGCACTTTACCACTGAGCCACATTCCCAGGCCCCTTTGCCATATTTTCTATTTTTTTTAATTTTTAATAGGTATTTTCTAGTTGTTGTAAGAAACTGATGTGACTCCATGTTTGAAAATAAATAAACAGGGGCTTCCCCCTTCAGCCCACCTCTTCCCACCTGTTGGCCCTCCCACGGAGCATTCCTGGGCCTTCCCACCTCTGCAGGAAGGAGAAAGACAAGGAGGGGAAGGAGGACAGAGGAACCCTAGGACGCAGAACAAGGGCAGAACACCTTGCCTCTGGGGACACCAGCTCGGCCCCGTCCTCCCTCGCAGAAGTCTGCTACCCCCGCTTCCCGGCTCGCCTCGGCGGCTTCTCAAGGTTCACCCTCACCGTGTGGGGAAGCAGGGCTCTCCCTTTGTCGCATTCCTCTCTTCCTCTATGACCTCATCTACCCGGTACCAACTGGCCGCCGCATTCAGGTGTACTCACAGCTCACGGGACTGCACGGCGCCTGAGGAAGGGCCCCTAACCACGGCCTGTGCCTGACTCCAGGGCCTGGCGCCGCCACAACGCCGCGCGCCCCCTTCAGCTGCAGCACTCGGTGTCAGGCTCCCTCCTCAGCCTCACTCGTCCCGCTTCAGCCCGGCAGCCGCCGGTCACGCCCTTCGTTCCTCCCCTACTCGCTGCGGCCGTCGGGTTTCCGCCTCCTCCACGCCCGACCCGACCCCTGGCGCTGCGCTCGGGGCGGCGTGCGTCGTCAGAGCCACGCAGGCCGCAGGCTCCCGATGGGTCAGCCTCTCTAGCGTTCCCGCCCCGGCCTGGCCCGCGGTCTGGGCGACGCGCCGACCTCGCGGTACGGCGAAGGCGGGGCCTCACCGCCCGACCTCTCGCCTCTGATTGGCCGTTCGGAGCCGACGCGCTCGCCGTTCCTTCCACCAGGCTGGGGGGGCGCTCCTGGCGCGCGCAGGGAGGGCGGGGCCTGTGGCGGTAGCGATCAAAGCCCCGACTCTCCTGCCCGGAGGGGGTCTCCTGCCCACCCCTCCGCTTTCCCGGGTGACCCGGGAGGGGGCGAGGGAGGAGGTGAGATTGTGGCTTAGTGTGTAGGCGAAAAGGGCGTCGGAGGAGAACTGAGGAGGGAGGGGAAACAGGCTGCCGGCGGCGGTGAGGTGAGCAGGGATTTTGAAGAAAGCCCCCGCAGCCCACCCTGCCCTGCTGGGCAGCCTGTTTCACCATCTTTCAGTCTGGACATTGCACCCCCCAGTGTCCAGCGACGGCCCCTTTTGGCCCCTGGTTCCTCGGAGGCCAAGAGAATGCCCACGGACTTGTCGGGTCTGGGCAGCAGCCTCTGGGACCCTGGCAGGATTCTGTATTAGTCAGGGCCCTCTAGAGGAACAGAACCAAGAGGAGGTACGATTATGAACAGGGGGTCATTAGCTTGGCTTGTACAACCAGAAGCTGGTAGTCCACAGTGGCCATTGCAGCCTGGAGAGCTGGAAGAACCAGCAGCAGCATGGTCCAAGATGCTGAAGCCTCACAACAAGAGAGATCAGTGGTGCTGCCCCAGTCCAAGACTGAAGGCTTCTGAAAACTCCCTGGAGAATCAATCACTGGCAGAGTCCACTTGGGAAGAGTGGAGGAGCAAGAGTCTGATGTCCTCCTACCATCCCAGCAGCAATCAAGAATGCAGTCAAGAAGAATCTAGCTTGCATCTGCTGCCACTTCCTGGTTCTTCAGCTTTTATTCCATCTAAGCCTCCAACCTATTGGACTGGGCTGCCCATGTAGAGGGAGGGTCTCCACTTTGGTTAGCTATCCCACATGCCAGTCATTCCTAGACATATCCTCACGGACACACCCAGAAGCCTCTTTTTTTAAAATATTATTTTTTAGTTTTAGGTGGACACAATATCTTTATTTTACATTTATGTGGTGCTGAGGATCGAACCCAGTGCCTCATGCATGGTAGGCGAGCACGCTACTACTGAGCCACAACCCCAGCCCCCAGAAGCCTGTTAGTCTTCAGCATTTTTAATCCAATCAGGTTGACGATTTAAATTAACCATTATAGATCACAAACAGTGGAGCCTCTGACATCCCTCCTGGCTTGTGGGGAAGAGAGCTGGGAGACAGGACTAGGGAAGGTTTGGGAAAATGGGCTTGGCAGAGGAGGCAGTGTGGTGGCCAGAAGAAGGGGTCAGTCTGCTCAGCCCTTCATCTGCAGTGTGAGGTCAGTCCTTGTTCCTGAGTCCCCTAACCCTGGCATGTAAAAGTCACTCAACAAATACTTGTGGATAAACAAATTTCCTCAAATTGAGGGTTTATTGTCGCCCATATTAGAGAAGAGAGAACCAAGGCCTGGCCCACACAGGCCTCTTGGGCACCTGTGCCAGAGTCTGAAGCTGTCTCCACTTTCTGGGCATCAAGGCACAACAAAACTGGGGCTAAGTGACAAGGCCATGGACCAGTGGTGGTGTCCAGTGGGCATGGGGTGGGCAAAGGGAGGGTGCAACTCCCGAGCCCAAGATGAGAGGGACATGGGCTGGGGTGAAAAAGTACCCCGTGGTCCTGTGCTGGGTGGTTTAGGGCAGCCCCTTTGTGGGCAGTGGGCAAGGAGGAACCAAAGTAGTAATCTACAGATGGATGTCAGCAACACCTGGGCTCTGTCATCAGCCTCCTTTTAGGGAAGGAGAGGATAAGACCCAGGCTCCCAGACTGGAATGGTGCAGAAGCCACAGTAGTTCTTCCAAGGCAGCTAGTTAGGACAGGGAGGGGACAGCCCTGCCCACACCCCTGGCCTCCACCTGTCCTCCCCAGATTCATTTACCTTTCTGCAGGATATGCACCTACCTCAATGCCAGCTCTTGAATAAACTTAAGGATACAGCCCTGAGGTTCCCTCCTCCAGGATCCTGCAGGGTCCTCCTCAGACGGCAAACTCTCTGGCTTCTCTTCACTGCCAGCCAAGGATCCCTTTCTGGCCAGGTCTGCCCACCCTCACTCCCCCAGGTTGGGGTGGAGAAGAGTCAGTGAGGAGGGAGATCTCAGAATCCCAAAGATGTCCAGGTGGTGATCCCTAGAACCTGTGAGTCTGCTAACTTACCTAGAAAAATGGACCTTGTAGATTGATTAGATTAAGAGTCGGGGGATGGGAGTTATCTTGGATGATCTGTACAGACCCAGGGTACTCTCACAGTCTTTTTAAGTGAAAGAGAAGAGTCAGAGAGGTTTGTAGATATTATGCTGATGTCTTCCTATGCCAAGCCAAGGAAGACAGCTGTAGAAGCTGGGAAAACTAAGGACACAGATTTTTGCATAGCCTCCAAAAAGAACTAGAACTGTTTGAACCTGGATGTTAGTCCAGTGAAATGATCTTGGGCTTCTGGACTGCAGAACTGTAAGATAATAAATGTATTATCCTAAGGCATCGAGTTGGGGATAGTTTGTTACAGTAGCCAGAGAAAGGACCACCAGTCCTGCTCCTGCCGGGCCGGTTTCCTTCCTGAGGCAGGGGTGTGGCTTCCCAGTGACCCAGTGTGCTAACCCCAGCTCCCACGGATGATGTTCACAGTGGTGTGGGGCAAGAACTGGTCTGGGAAGACACACCCTGGACTCCCTGGTGTTCCTCCTCTGGCTTGCCACCTGAACTACTTCTGAAGACATGCCTGAGTCAGGGTGTTGGGGCCCTGGCAAGCCTTGGGTACCTGCAAGCATTCCCAGGCTGCATCTCAGTTATCTGTGATGCCACCAATTTCCAGTAACCATTCCCCCAGTAACCTCTTGGCACCTACTGCATTTCCAGTGCTGGCGACAGACATGTGAACATCACACAGGAGCTTCCCATCACACGTGAGCCTCCCCGTCCCTTGGTGAACCCCAACACCAAGGGGGGTTTCAAGGCCTGTGGTCAGTCTGTGCAGAAGGTAGCTACCATCGGCCTCTCCTGTGACAAGAAGGCTTCTGGGAGCCCATGCCACCTTCCCTGAAGACTGCTGCGAACTAGAAGACTCCAACTTCCACTGGAGCTGGAGGAGAGGCTCTGCAGAGCTGATGGAGCCATGGAGAAGGAAACTGGCCCCTGCCATCAAACTAGAATGCTTCTTCACATCAAGGAAGCAGCCAAGAATGTGAGGAGAGCCTACTGAACGGGAGAAAATCTTGGCCAGATGCACCTCAGAGCATTAATCTCTAGGATATATAAAGAACTCAAAAAACTGAACGTCAAAAAACCAAATACCCAATCAAAAATGAACAAAGGAACCAAACACTTCACAAAAGAAGAAATATGAATGGTCAATAAATATATGAAAAAATGTTCAATATCTCTAGCAAGTAGAGAAATGCAAATTAAAACTACAATGAGATTTCATCTCACTCCAGTCAGAATGGCAATTATCAAGAATACAAATAACCATAAATATTGGTGAGGATGTGGGGAAAATGATCAATTTGTACATTGCTGTTGTAACTGCAAATTGGTGCAACCACTCTGGAAAGCAGTATGGAAATTCCTCAGAAAACTTGGAATGCAACCACCATTTGACCCAGCTATCCCACTCCCTGGTTTGTGAGTTTGGTAGGGGAGGCAATACTAAATATCAGCATACTACAGTAACAGCTCAATTAACAGTAGCTAAGTTATGAAACCAACATAGGTGCCCTTCAGATGTATGGGTCAAGAAAATGTAGTACATATACACAATGGAATATTAGCCACAAAGAAGAATGAGATTATGGCATTAGCTGGTAAATGGATGGAACTAGAGACTCTCCCGGTAAATGAAATAAGCCAATTCCCCCAAAACAAAGGCCAAATGGTTTCTACGATATGTGGCTGCTGAAATACAATAAGTGCCCTGGGAGTGGGAGGGTATTGTAATGGATTGGACAGGGCAGAGTGGTGGTGGGGGGAGAGAGTGAAGATGGGAATGGGAAAGACAGAAGAATGAATCATTCATAACTTCCTGTGTTCACCATGAATACACAACCAGTGAAACTCTACATCATGTACTCCCACAAGTATGTATGATATGTCAAAATACATTCTACCATCATATATAACTAAATATATAACAACAAAAAAATTGACCCTTGGAAATTAATCAGGGTGAAGGGACTCGGGCAGGAAAAGAGGCCAGAATCACTGAGGCTAACCAGGGAAGTCCAGGACTCCTCTAGTCACATGCTTGTGTCTGACTTGGGCCACCTTGGCTTCCGTAAGCCATGATGACCACAGCTGCCCCACAGCATGTTGGGAGGTTTGCAGAGTCATGATCCAGAGGTGAAGGCAAGCTGGGACTTAGAAACAGGGTAGCAGCCCGTCTTCATGAGATGGCCTCGCTGGGCCTCAGCAATTTAGCAAGGCCCAAAGCAACTAAGAGAGACGTGTCTCAAAAAGTAAATAGTTCAGGGGGCTGGGGGTGTGGCTCAAGCGGTAGTGCGCTCCCCTGGCATGCGTGCAGCGGGGTTTGATCCTCAGCACCACATACAAACAAAGATGTTGTGTCCCCCGAAAACTAAAAAATAAATATTAAAATTCTCTCTCTCTCTTAAAAAAAGAAAAAAAGTAAATAGTTCAGGGACAGTGGAGCATACCAGTAATCCCAGTGGCTGGGGAGGCTGAGACAGGAGGATCTCAAGTTCAAAGTCAGCCTCAGCAATTGCAGGTGCGAAGCAACTCAGTGAGACCCTGTCTCTAAATAAAATACAAAATAGGGCTGGGGATGTGGCTCAGTGTCCGAGTGCCCTTGAATTCAGTCCCCAATACACCCACCCCCCCCCCCTCCAAAAAAAAAAAAAAAAAAAAAGTAAAAAGGACTGGGGATGTGGCTCAGCAGTTAAGGGCCTCTGGGTTCAATCTTTGGTACTAAAGAGAGAGACGAAGACAGAGACAGGGCCCTACCATCCCTGGTCAGGTCACCCCTGCCCCTCCGAGCCTGAGTTCCAGCCAGGGGCATACTTGTCTTCCTATGTCCATCCTGCAGGCAGTAGAGTGGAAAGAAAAGCTCACACTCCGTGTGGGATACTTGTCCCTGCAAGGAACAGTGGAGGGGCATGACCACAAGATATCAACAGCAACTTTTCTCTCCAAGACCCCTCGACCTACAGTGCACCCCAAGGAAGAGTGGATCAGAACCTTCAACCCTGGTGCCGGCTGGGGATTCTTCCGCGGCCCTCTTTCGAGTTCAGAGCCCCTGTATGGATGTCAGTGGGGTGGCGCCCAGCTGGACTCCACTAGACTCCCAACTAGATCTCAACAGGGGTGAGGTTCACCAGTGACCTCCAGGAAAACCCTTACAAACGTCAGGCCAGGGCACCCTCAGCTGGACAGCCATGGGAATCAGCCAGAGACATCTCCAGGTGGCCTCCCATGAGGGTCAGGTGTGTTCCCAGAGGATCCATGTGGACCCGCTGCGGTGGTTGCTGCTGTCCGTGGTGGTACTACCTAAGTGCCCTGCCCAGTCTGAAGAGATAGGTGCTGGGAATGCACACGCTAAGGCCCCGGGGGATGCCCAGAGGATCCCAGGCGCAGCGCGGAGGCACTCATCGAGGTCCCCACACCCTCCTCATGCCCCGTAGTCGTGGGGTCCAGCCGGGGCCCTCCCCTGCTGGCCACGTGCGGTCTGATGGGTCGTCCAGCGTGCCCTCTGGCTGGGCTGGGTCCTTAGGGACGCTCTCGCGCTCCAGCGCACCCACCGCAGGCCCTGGCAGGGTGTTGTCCAGGTCAGGGCTGGTGGGTCGCGGCGTCCAGGGTGGCCCCAGCGTGGGTCGCGGCGGAAACCAGGAGAAGCCGGGCTCAGGGGCCAGAGCCACCAGCTGCGGCCGCACGGGGCCGGCGGAGGCAGCGTGCGGGATGAGGAAGAAGATGTAGACGCCGGAGACCACGAGGCCCGAGGCCACCAGCACGGCCAGCGCAACGGCCGCGTTGAAGACGCAGGCCCCGCTGCTCAGCGTCAGGCGGCGCGACAGCGGGCGGCCGAGGCGCAGAGGCGGCGGCGGCGGAGCGCGCGCGGCGCGGCTCTTGCGCGGCCCGGGCGGCGGCGGCGGCGGCCGCAGGTAGAGCAGCCCGCGGCGGCGGTCGAAGCGCACGGAGCCCTGGCGCGGTGGCGGCGCGCGCGCGTCGCGGGGCAGCAAGCCAGGCTGCGTGGGCAAGGCGGGCAGCCCTCCGCGCGGCGCCAGGCGTGTGGGCGCGCGGCACACCGGACAGGCCACCGCGTCGCCGCCGCCCGCCGTGGCCAGCGACAGGCGCGCCAGGCACTCGAGGCAGAAGACGTGGCCGCAGTCTAGGCGCTTGGGCAGCTTGAACACGCCGTCGAAGGGCGACACACAGATGAGGCACTCCATGGGAGACGCGGGGGGCAGAATGGGGCCCGAGCCGGGGCTCCCATCGCCCTCGTCCTCCTCTTCGTCCTCTTCCTCATCTCTACCTGGGAAGCCGGGCGCAGAGGGCGCGCCTGGAGAGCTGGGGCCCGCACTCTGAGTCCGCAGGCGGCGGAGCCAGGGAGGCCGCGGGCAGGGCATCTGGAACCAACCTACGGGGAGAGGTGGTCAGGCGGGGAAGGGCAGCAGCACGTAGGGTGCCAGAGGGAGGACTTCTAGAAAAGGGGCTGCGCTGAGGGGGTTACCCAGAACAGGGGGGGGACTGTCAGGTTAACAGGAGCCAAGGCGTCAGGGATGGGCCCTTGAAGGTCCAGGTAGAGACTGCAGCCACTTGTAGATTGTGTGGACCCAGTGTCTCCAGGAAGGAATAGGTGCAGGGGACCAAGGTTAAGTGGGACTCCCAGACCTGGGAAGCAAACCTGGCTGTGGCACCCAAGATGCCACGGAGGACCCACCAGGGTCAACTCCTGAGATAAGGATGCGTTCAGACCAGTGAAGTATCCTGAGCTACAGGACACTTCACTACAGGGTGAAGGGACAGCCAGCAACCCTCCCTACCTTGTGATGCCTTCTCCTCTGCCTGCTAGGGGTGTCCCTCGTGTTCTGCCCAGTCTCTGGTCTGCCTGCTGTTGGGTATCTGAGTGCCCCTCCCTAGGGGAGGGTGTCTGACCTGGGGCCACCCCCACAGGTCCCACGCACCTGCTGAACTTGTCTGGCTGGCTACCCCACCCCCAAGACCAAGCCTGCCTGGAACAGCAAGCCTGACTCGGGCGGATGGATGCTGATGATACTGTGCAGGGGGGGATGCGACCACCCTTTTCCAAAACCTACCTCGGTGCCCCTGTAACCCTAGCAACTGGAGTTTGTAAGACAAGGATCCCAAGTCAAGGGTTGGCCTGAGTTTCAGGGGGCTGGGGCTGTAGCTTCCTGTGCAAGGTCACAGGTTCAATCCACTGTGAAACCAAACATTCCACTATGGAGCCACCAGATGGGCTGCCCGGGCAGGCTCCTGCTTCTCCTAGCACCCTGTGAGTACAGGGCCTGACCTACAGGCCACAACCCAAACAGTGAAGCCAGCATACACATCTAAGAGGTGGACAGCTGGACTGACCAGCCTGCACACAGGGCTGGGATGACTGTGGCCCAGACAACAGACCTTCTTTACCTCTACCTGGGCGTGCTTTTGGGGAGCCTGACCTCAGGATGATCCACAGGTACCCAGGTCTCACGACCAAGACCAGAGCAACATCGGATATGCCAGGCTCTCACGTCATGGACATCCTCTCCCTCATTCCCAATACCTGCTGGAACACTCTAGGGCATCTGGCCGGTGCCCTGTGACTCAGGTTTCCACAGGCTGACAAGTCATGCCAGTGCCATGAGCATCCCCATCACACAAGGCCACCCCCCAAAACACAGGCAACAGATGGGTACAGCTGTCCCCAAGGGAAGACAGTTTATTGGTCAGCAGCCGGGAAATCAGCGGTTGGACTTGGCCACACGCTCCAGCTCGTCTTTCTTTTTGATGGCGTAGGAGTTAGAAGAGCCCTGTGAGGAAACATCGAATTAGCTCTAGATGCTGGGAGCGCCCCCGACCCCTGCCCTGAGACCCACATTCCAACCCACCTTGGCAGCATTAATGAGCTCATCTGCCAGGCACTCAGCAATCGTCTTGATGTTCCGGAAGGCTGCCTCACGGGCCCCTGTGCACAGCAGCCAGATGGCCTAGAGCATAGGGGTCAAATTAGGCCTGTAGGACTGTGGCCCTCCAGTAACTGGGCCCATTCAGACAAGATACAGGGGGGAGGTGACATCGGCTGGAAAAAAACAAGTGTCCACAGACATACACACCCAATGATAGGACTTTAGACCTGCCATAACAATGTGATGCGTGCTCTTGACCTGGACCTTTGATTGACAAGGTAAAGGGCACATTGGGACAGATGGATAAATGACAGATATCGTATTGCTATTAAATTCCTCAGGAATGGAATGATGGGAACAGATAAGCCTTGCTCATAAGACACCTGCTCAAATGCTTAGGGAAAAACTGTTAGAATTACTACAACTGCTTCTTACCAGGTCCAAGAAGAGGAAACAAAAAGAAAAGAAACCACCCCACACAGTGCATCTGTAGCATACACTACAATTATGGTACACTTTACACACTGTACATCAGAAACAAGATGAAGCCAGACTTTGAAGGGCTCCAGGAGCCAGGATGTGCTCTGAACAGGGTGTGATTCCAGGAAGCTTTCCTGGAGGAAGTGAGGCTCCAGGTAAAACATGCAAACAGGGACAACCTTTCCGCCCCAGGCAGGACTCCACCCACTCCTGACAGCTCTTCCCATTCCACCTGCACAAGGCCAAGGGCCCAGCCCCACCTGATTCACGCGGCGCAGTGGGGACACGTCCACAGCCTGCCTTCTCACTGTGCCAGCTCGCCCAATGCGCGTTGAATCCTCCCGGGGGCCACTGTTGATGATGGCATTCACCAGGACCTGCAGAGGGTTCTAGCAGACAAGGGGGGCTATGAGCTCAACGTCAAGCCCCACGTGCTCCCCCTCCCCGACTCAATCCTAAAACAGGGTGACAGCCACATAGGTGCTAAGCGTGGCATGCATACCAGGGCGCTTCAGTATGTGGTACAGGCACAGCCTGCCTTGCTTGTCACAGAGTCCTACCTCACCAGTGAGCAGGTGGATGATCTCAAAGGCATGCTTGACGATGCGCACAGTCATGAGCTTCTTGCCGTTGTTGCGGCCATGCATCATCATGGAGTTAGTGAGGCGCTCCACGATGGGGCACTGTGCTTTGCGGAAGCGCTTGGCAGCATAGCGTCCTGCACTGTGGGGCAGGTACTTGGCATACTTCTCCTTCACCGCAATGTAATCCTGAGGCAGCAGGGGATGAGGAACAGTCAGGAACAGGATGGACACAGCCCAGGACCAGAGGATACCCAGTACCCAACACTGCAATCCCAGTCTGCCCCCGCCCCAGGGGATATGGATGTGAATCCAGCTTGCCTTGAAAGAGGGAAAACTACACAAGTGGATTTCCTTCCATGTAACACTTCAAGAGCACTCCATTCACAACGGAGTGAAGTCCATTGTTTGTTTTTTTTTTGCAACAGTGCTCCCTGAACACGGACGCTGTAGGGTGGACGATTCTCTGCTGAAACTACCACAGGATGTTCAGCAGTACCCAGTACACTAGCAGCAACCCACTCAGTTTTTGTTTGTTTTGGCAGTGCTGGGATTGAACACAGGGCATACTAGGCAGGTGCTCTACTATCCCTCTTTATTTAGACAGGGCCTCTCCAGTTACTGAGACTGGCCTCAAACTTGCAATCCTCCTGCCTCAGCCTCCCGAGTTATTGGAATTGCAGGCATGCACCACTGTAATTTTGATAACTAAAAATATATCTAGATGTTGCTGAGTGTCATCAGAGTCAGAAACATTGTTAAAGGCCAAAATGGTAGCCTTGCATACATAAGGATGGCAGAAGGAAATTAGAGGAGTATGCAGAGTGGACTGCAGTTGATACTTCCATTACAAAATGTGCCCAAGGCCACTCCCCCACCCCCAGTTTTTACATTTTTAATACCTTTATTTTTATATGTGTTACTGAGGATAGAACCCAGTGCCTCACAGGTGCTAGGCAAGTGCTCTACCACTGAGCTACAACCTCAATCCCATAGTTTTTACCTTTCTAAAGCATTGTACAAAAACAAAAAAAGTAACTGAAATCCAATGTGACCGTGAGGCAAAAACATACCATCTGGTTCCTAATGAAGAAGTTTGGGCCTGTGGGGTGCTATGGTACAGCACTCGCCTATCATGCAAGAAGCCCTAGATTCCATCCCTTGCACCACAATATACAAAGCTGCCTACGCAAACCCATGGAGGGGTGAAGTGAAGCTCTCCCAGACATCCAGAATGAAAATAATCCTGTATCCTTTAGGCACAGTACATAAGTGCTATGGCATCTTTAGAGGGAACAAAAATGCTTTAATTTCTTTTCAAACAAAAAGGAAAAAAAGTAAACACAACTCACATTTATCTTTATACAAACACATTCACAAAACATCATTATTATTATTATTACTACTGTTTTATGGTGCTAGAGATTGAACCCAGCGGCACTTAACCACTGAATTCTCGGCTCTTTTTTAAATTTATTTTCTCCTTTGAGACAGGGTCTAACTAAGTTGCTTAGGGCCTCAGTTAGTTGCTGAGTCTGGCCTTGAACTTGTGATCCTCCTGCCACAACCTCCCAAGGTGCTAGGAACTCCAGGCTTGCAAAATATAACCTTTAATATCAATTTTTTTTAAAACACAGGAAGAGCCCTCAAAAATACAAGCTCCTAAGGTCCATGAAACTCCTGAAACAGGAAGCTATTTGAGCGCTGGGGGCATGCTCAGCAAAGTGCACACCTCTGCATCAAGGGGCAGGAGTGGCAGAAACTCTGTAAAACAGTATGAGAATAAGACAGAAGTACAAGCACTTACAATTCTTGATTTCAACATGTTACAAAGCTACAGTAATCAGGACAACACAGTACTGGCATAAACATAAGATATACAAACCAACAACATAATTCAGAATCCAGAAATAAACCCATATATTCACGGCCAACTGATTTTCAACAAGTTCACCATTCAACTGGTTAAAAAACAGTCTTGGGGAGGGGGGAGGGTGGAGGATGGGAAAGGCAGCGGAGCACAACAGACACTAGTATGGCAATTTGTAAATCAATGGATGTGTAACTGATGTGATTCTGCAATCTGTGTATGGGGTGAAGGTGGGAGTTCATAACCCACTTGAATCAAAGTGTGGAATATGATACGTCAAGAAATTTGTAATGTTTTGAACAACCCACAATAAAAAATTAAAACAGTCTTAACAGATGATGTTGGATAACCAGACCACGTTAAAAAAAAAACCGAGATGCTGGGTTAGGGCTATAGCTCAATGGCAGAGCACTTGCCTGGCATGTGTGAGGCACTGGGTTCAATTCGATCCTTAGCACCAATAAAACTATAAAATAAAGGCATTTTGTCCAACCCCCCCTCCAAACCACCCAGATGCTTCCACTTTAAAACAATAGAAAAATATTTTTTTTGTGTGTATAGTCCTAGCCTTGAACACATTAGGCAAGCACTCTACCACTGAGCTATAGACCCTAGACTAAATGGTAAACAGTTATGTGTATTCACTACAAAAACAACAAAACGCATGCAACAGTATATGTGATACTTCTGAAAAAGGAACCCCATATAAAACTGTACTAACCTTTAGGCAAGATACAAGAAAGAGTGGATGTGGTGATTCAGCGATCTTTTTTAAACATATTTTACTTGTAGGTGGACATGATACCTTTATTATTTATATGTGGTGCTGAGGACTGAACCCAAGGCTTCACACATGCTAGGGAAGGGTTCTAATGCTGAGCCACAAGCCCAGGGATCTTTTTAACTGTCCTGACTTTAAATGTTGACTTAGTGGAACAATCCCCATCTCCTTCCAACGCCTAGTAGGGAAGGCCAGTGTCAAGTCCCCCTCACCTGCAGGGAAATGTCATTGATCTGCACATCATCAGTGCTCCACTTCCCGAAGAGCTTGATGTCCGGGGTCTCTGCCACTGCAGGTGCGGCTGTCTCCCACTCCGTCATCCTGGGGACAGGGTGAGAGCAGAAATAAACAGAGTCCACCAGCCTGGAGCACACGCTCCAACTCCGGTGGGATCAACTGTGAGGCTGACCCCATCCTGTGGGAATCAGAAGGGACCTAAACAAATTGTGAACATCTAGGCACCCCACCCACACCCCCACCCCTGAGGCTGACCCTCCTCCTAGCGGTGAGTTGAAAAGCTAGGAGGGACCACTTTCTCAGGCTTCGGAAAAGCACTCGGCTGCCATCCGTCTCACCCCGGAGCCCCGGTTCCAAGATCTGACAAGTCACCTTGTCCACAGCTGCTTCATGAAGCCCTACAGCGGCTTAGCAGACAATGCTCAGCCCAGCATCTGACGGGAATCACACACCGCCATGCCAATTTTACCCAGGCAAAACAGGCTGCTCTGACCGTCTTCCGCATCCTTGAGGTGGTAACACTATCTGACATAAGGATAACCGCACAAATGCTGCGACAGAACCCATGAAAAAGTTTCCATTCCGGCTTGATACTCGGCAGACACTAAGAATTCTCTGAGGAAAACGAATACTGGTAACAAACGGTTACCAAGGAGCTACGAGAACGGGAACTTCCAGTCTCAACGTGCAGCCGAAAATCCCACATCAGTGCCCGGGCGCGCGGCCTCGGCGGTGGAGGACCACGGCGTAGCACCCAGTGGCTTTGGCCGCGCGCGCTTCCGAGTACCCGTTTTCCAGAAGAGGGGAGAGCCGAGCACGGAAGGCGCAGGGCCCTGGGCCCCTCCGCCGATCTCCAGAAGACCCTGGGCCGCCCCTTCGGGACCCAGACCCCCCTACAGCCTAACCTGAGAGCACAGCTGGGGAGTCTCGGTCGCTCCGCGTGCACCACGCGCCACACTCGTACAGACAGGAAGAGGCCGCGCAGCGCAGACCGACGCTTTTAAGTGGAGGGAAAACTTCCGGGTCAGCAGAGGCTCCGGGAGAGCACAGTGGCACTGAGCGCTCACAGACCAATCCGGAGTGAGGATGAAGGGCAGCCTCCCAATCAGACGAACGCGCCTATCCGCCGCGCACGCGCACTCTCAGAAGCGGGACCACAACTTGCCTGGCGGAAGTGCAGTAAGACGTCGTTGCCAGGACACGGGGGCCAGTGCCCAAGTGCCTAGACGTCCAAGACCAACGCCGCCATTTCAAATGAGGGCAGAAGTCCGGGACGCGATCATTTCGGCCTGGCATTCGGCTCGGTACCCTATCGTTCTTTGCCGCCCTCAGGACGGCTTCCTCAGGACACACGCATCGCGTCTCCGCATTGGTGGAGTGAGTCTGCCACCGCCCTCCGCAGTGCCACGAGTATGCGCCGTCCACGCGCGGCCCCTCCCCACTGCCTGGGTCTGCGGGTCCCCGGCCGCGGCGGTCATTCCTCCGGGTACCTGCCGCCGGGATTTCCCCGCCGTCGTGCCTTTGCTTCCACAGTTTCGCGTCCTGGGGAGACGGGTTCGCGGCGCTGAGAGCCAGACCCACATGCTGGAGCAGTGCTACCCATCTGGAGGTGGGGGAATTGGAGCCGGGCAGGGCTGGCAAGCTGGGTCCCCTCGGGGGCGTTCTTTATCCTGGTGCTCATAACTATGTCCGCGGCCTCGGCTCTTGGGCTGCTGTTTTGAACTAGGCTGACTTCTACTTAAAAAAAAATTTTTTTTAGAAATATCTTTATTGTATTTATCTTATTTTTATGTGTTGCTGAGGATCGAACCCAGAGTCTTGCACGTGCTAGACGAGCGATCTACCTCTGAGCCACAATCCCAGCCTCTGACTTCTGCTTTTTTTTTTTTAATATTTATTTATTTTTTAGTTCTCGGTGGACACAACATCTTTGTTTGTATGGGGTGCTGAGGATCGAACCCGGGCCGCACGCATGCCAGGCGAGCGCGCTACCGCTTGAGCCACATCCCCAGCCCCCTGACTTCTGCTTTTGAGACCAAAGGCTGTAATGAGGGATGGGACTGTTCCCCTATCCGGCTCCCATACAGGCCTCTATCTCCCCAGCTATTGCTTCTTCCAGCTGCTCCCAGAAGGATCTCTGAAAAGGTCAGCTGGGGAGGGGCTGACAGTGTCCTTATAAAGATGGGTTAGGGATGTAGCTCAGTGCAAGAGGGGTTCAGTGCCCAAAACCACAAGGGAAAGAAGAGGCAAAGTTGGGGGAGACACCCATGTGACCATAGAGGCCTAGATTGAAGTGATGCACCCATAAGCCATGGAACATGGAGCCACCAGAAGCTTGAAAAAACAAGGAAGGGTCCTCCACAGAGAATGTGCCCTTGCACCACCTTATGAACTTATGATCTTCGGAACTCAGTAAATTGTGGTTTTAAGCCACTAAGTTTGTGGCAATTTATTACTGCAGACATCCGCACTAATATACTCCAGATACTGAAAAGCTCCCTTTGCCATGTTTGGCCTTTACTTCCGTGTCACCATGATAACCTCACGGTGACACCTGAGATGCCATCCTTCCTACCTCATTCTCTTGCCTCCTATAGTTAGCAATTACTCTGGGGTAAGCAGCTCCCTGATCCCATAGGGACAATTAAGAATCTAGGAACCAGATTGCTTACCTTTCAAAACAATCTTATGGGCTGGGGATGTGGCTCAAGCGGTAGCGCGCTTGCCTGGCATGCGTGCGGCCCGGGTTCGATCCTCAGCACCACATACAAAACAAAGATGTTGTGTCCGCCAATAACTAAAAAATAAATATTAAAAAAAAAAAACAATCTTATGAGGTGGACATACCCATTTTACAGTCAGCGAGTCCCAGAGAGATGAAGTAACATTGTTCAGGTCAAAGAGCAGAAGGAATCTCCGATGGCTGCCCCATGGTGTGATCTCTCCTACTTCAGCTGTCTTTCCCATGTCCCTGCGTTGTGTCTCCCACAATTCTGGGGGCCCCTGCACATACACAATGCCTATGACATATTTGTTCTGTGAACAAGGAGTGGTCCTTTTCCCTAGGTATGGCATAATCCAGACAGGGACTCTATCCCTAAACACTCTCCCTCTTCAAAGGAAATGCTGCTTGCCCAGTAACCATGTGATTATGGGCTGTAGTTACAGAAGGGTTTGTCCTGCCTCCAGGCCTGCTGAAATAAAGGTGCAAAGGAATGAACAGGCATACTGACTCTCCAGTTCTTGCAGGACTGCCCTGTCTCTCCCTGCCACAGTGCCATGCCTATGGAGTGTGTCCAAACACAGGCTTCTAGGGACAGCTGCCTGTGCCAGTCCACCTGCTGGGTGACTTGGCTTAAGCCTCTTCTAGGTTCAGTCTGCAAGCTGCAGATTGAGACCCTGTGTTGTCAGGATGACTGTAGATCTGGAGAGATACAGGGAGAGTGCATGTGCTGGGGTGTTGATAAGAATGGATCCAGTCCAATCCCCATACTTAGGGTTAGCTAGTAGAGAAAATGGGAGGCTGGCCAGGCATAGTGGAGCACACCTGTATTGTATTTTTAAAAAAATATTTATTTTTTAGTTGTAGTTGGATACAATATCTTTAATTAATTTGCTTTTATGTGGTACTGAGGATCAAACCCAGGGCCTTACCCATGCTAGGCGAGCTCTGTACCACTGAGCCACAACCCCAGCCCCACCCCTGTATTCTTAGCTGCTGAGACCTGCAAGTTACAGGGCAGCTTGGGCAACTTTGACCCTGTCTCAAAATAAAAAATGAAAAGGGCTGGTAACATATAGTTCAGTGATAGAGTGCCGCTGGGTTGAATCCCTAGTACTGGGGGTGGGTGGGGAGGGAGCATCAGGTGCTGGAAACACAGGCATAAGTACATAGAGGTACTACTGTGGTTGAATTGTGCTTGATGAGGTTGAAGGCAGAGGCTCTAGGCCTGAGGCATTCCCTTACTCTGCTCAAAAGGGACATAGGTCAGAGATTTTTTTAAATTGTCAGACCTTCTAGTACCTCATGGAGACTGTATTAGTTTCCTGTTTGCTGATGTAACAAATTACCACAAACTTAGTGACATAATACAACACACAGGAGGTCAGAATTCCAAAATGAGTGCTGCACTGAGGTTAATACAGTAGGGGAGGACAGGCAAGAAGGTAACCTTTGCCTTCCCCACTGACCTAGATGCCTTCAACTCCTGCTGAAATTCCTTACTTTTTCTAACTTTGTTACGGTTTTCAAGATTTGTGATTTAGGTCTAAGTGTGTGGCTCAGTGATAGACTATTTTCCTAGGATTAATCCCCAACACTGCAAACCAACAAAAAAAATTTTTTTCCCTCCTGAGGAAATTTGGCCAAGCCACTGTGTTTTTCTCCCCTCCTGGGAACTACCAATCTTCATTTCACCTCTGCACTTCCAGATCCTACAACCAGGGCCCCTGTTGGGAACTGGACCCAGAATAGTGGCTCCAGTTAAGCACAGCAACAGGGTCTGTGGGTGGGCTGCCATGGGATCATGCACCAGGTAGTTACTCCAGAGGGAGGCCCTTTCTGTGCACAAGAGCCGGAGGTCTCAGTAATTCAGAACTCCTCTTTATGCGTGAGTGCCTAAGTCCTGTGTATTTTTGGAGGGCAGCAACCCAGGCCTTCAGCCAGTGGCAGAACCTGCTCCATTCATTAAACCACCACCCCCCTTAAGATTTTTGGAGTTAAGGTCTTGGGAGCCACCAGATGACACAGGGGGCCAGCGGTCCTCCAAGTGCCCTTCAGTCATCACTCCAACCTGGAGAAGCACTGACATGTCCTAGGCAGAGTAACAAACTAAGGACTAACCTTGCTGGACAGGGAAAACAGACCCCTTGGTGCAGGGGGCTCCATGTCCAGATTGCCACAGGATTGAGAAAGGGAATGGAGTAATCTGAGGGTTAGCAAATCGGTGGCACTCTGCCTGTGCCTGATTGGCTAACAAAATTAGCCTATGGATGCTTGCTTTGCAAGCACAAGGCCCTGGGTTCAATCCCCAATGCCCAAAAAAAAAGGTCTATGGAGGGGGCCACGAGATCGATGGGGACAAGATGAGAGTGACAAATAGGTAGGATGTCTGACCAGCTCATCCTATCCAAGACCAAGGACCAAGGAGACAGTACGGTCTCACCACTTTTGTGGGAGGCCGTGATTCTCCGCCGAGGCTGTAGAGTCACCTGGCGTCCAGATGATGCCTTCACTCTGAGATTCTGATTTTGTCATTCCAGAGAGCGCACGCTCCTTGGGACATTTCAGAACTCTCCAGGTGTTTTGCATCCCCACCCAACACTTATTGCATCGAGGCTGGAAATGGAAGCCCATTTCTGGGTCCCGACCCCTCGAAAACGTGACCGGGCGCAGGGCTAGCCAACATCCTGCCGGCCAATCTCCCGCTTGGCCCGGCGGGACGGGCGCGAAGGCGTTCTTTACCCGGACGCTGTCTCCTTGACGACGACGCAGGTTTGAGCTCTCCTTCCAAGGGGACGCACTACCTGGTTGCCGTGACAAACGAGGTTTCCCCGCTACCTCGGTTAACGAGAAAAGGGCCCAGCAGAACTACGTTTCCCAGCAGCCCCAGCGCAAGCGTCGTCCGCCATTACCCTAGTGGGGTCCCGAAACCCTCAGTGCCGCTCGGCCCGGAGGATCCGGGAGGAGGGCTCCGAGTTGCGTGCGGGGCGGTGGCCCTGAGACCGCCCCGGGCGAGTAAATGGCATTCTGCGCGGACCTGGGACCCTGGCCTTCGAGGCGGGGACCTCCGGGCGCTTTAGCGCTACGCTCTCCCGCGCCTGGGGACGGCGGCGGCGGGAAGCCTCGTACTTCCGGTCCGTCTACTCTGGGTCCGCGCCTTCAGTTCCGGGCAGGTCCGCAGTCTGTCGTTTGCCTTCTCCAGGCTGCGTGGGAGGTCGCGCCCCACGAGGGCAGGCCCAGGACTACCGGGGCAGCTCCGGGTCCCTCCGGTGGCGCCTCCTGGCCTTTGCACTTGGCTTCCCCTGCGCGTGGCCAAGCCCGGCGGCTCCTCTCCCGCGGTCGGACCCAGCGCCAACGCCCCCGTGGAAAGGCAGAAGAAGCCGCCGCCCCTCCCCACATTCCAGCGGCACTCCGCTGGTCGTCCCCGACGGCTTGTTCTTCTAAGTGGACGCCTAGTGCGTTGCTTGCCTTCACTGCCCCACTTCACTCCGACCCCGGCACAGATGTCCAGTGAGTGCTGAAACTTGCTGTCCCCGAGGGCGGCACAGTGGGGAGAAGAGGGGACAGGTACAGAAGAGTCGTGCCGGCACGCAGGGGCCTCCCGCTTCCCGCCGCGTGTACGTGCAGGACCGACGGCTAGGGTTACTGTCCGTTAGGATGGTCGGGGAGGTTGGCCTGTGACCCAGGGAGGTGCTGCTGCGGTGGACTGGGCACCTCTCCACACCTCAGACCTGCCCTGTAGAGCCTCTTGGGCTCACCGGACTTCCCGGGCCGCGGACCAACCCCCTGGGGGAGTTGAACCTCACTAACTTCCTGGGTTTCTCTTCGCCCTTTGGTTCTGCAGGGCTTAGTCTTGAACACTTGGTCTCTCAGCTCCCCTGTGCCCTAAGGTGGTGATTCTGCATCCTGCTCTCAACACCAGCATCCCTGGGGACACTTAGAAAGGATTTGCTGTCAAAGCAGCCTGAGACAGCTGTAATGCAGGACTGGGGACATGCTTCCCAGCTCCGGGGACCTGAAACCCAGATTATTCTTGCCATGCTTGTTCTTGGTTCTTGGGTCCAAGATCAGAAGGATTTTCAGTTTCAGGTCGGGTAGTTGGATGGTGCAAGCTGGAAGGAAGCGGGGGGCCGCAAGGCCTGGGTTGGGTTGTAGGGGGCAGGGTTTTTTTTGTTTGTTGGTTTGGTCCTGCCCCTCCCCCGTCCCCCCCCCAACAGTATTGGGGGTTGAACCCAAGGACACTCTTATCATTGAGCTATATTCCCAGTCTTTTTTATTTTTGAGGGGGCACCTCTCCACACCTCAGACCTGCCCTGTAGATCCTCTTGGGCTCACAGGACTTCCCAGGCCGCGGGAATTGAATTCAGGGGCACTGGACCACTGAGCCATGTACCCAGCCCTGTAGGCCATGTGGGAATGCTGAGGTCTGTCAGGAGGCAGTAGGGGCAGGACAAGGGGAAGGCCTGCCAGAAAGGCAGGGCAGGGCAGAGAAAACAGTTTACGACAGTCTAGCTGGAATGATTCCGGCAAGCTTTAAACCGCAGACTATTTCCTAGTTGTTTGGCACCTGCCCTGGACGACTGAAACAGGAATATTGCCTCCAGAGGCACAGGGCCCAAACTGGTCAGTCTGCGTATCAAAGACTTGCTGCTGGCTGGCCCCACGAGGGGCTGCTGTTGAGACAGGGTCTGTTTGTTGCCCAGGCTGGACTAAGGTGATCCTCCTGCCTCAGCCTCAGTGCTAGGACCACAAGTGTGTGCCAACCTCCCAGCTCAGAAAGACTTTTGAGTGAAAGAAACCGTAAGGTACAGAAAATAAAAATATTCTCATATTTTCATCTTCCATCCTGTGAATGAGGCTAAAGGTCTCCAAGCTGGTGTTCCCGGCTTCTTCTCATGCCCTCTGGTTCTAGTTGCAGCATTCCAGGGCCCCTTTTTAGCTTCCTTATATGCTCATGACTTCAGCAAGGTCATGCCAGGGAAATGCCCTGTCTGGGGATTGGCTCGGTGACAGTGGCAACAGCCATCAGGCCTAGACCTTCTTTGAGCACTCTGGGTCTGTACCAGAGTACTAATTGTCCATGCTTAAAATTTCCCATGTGTGTATATGTGTGTGTTGTTTTGTTTGTTCTTTGGTACTGGGGGTTGAAGCCAGAGGTGTTTTACCAATGAGCTACATATCCAGCGAACCCTCTCCACCCCCGTTTTTGAGTATTTTGAGACAGGTCTAAGTTGCTCAGGGCCTTGCTAAGTTGCTGATACTGGCCTTGAACTTCCAGTACTCTTGCCTCAGCCTCCTGAGTTGCTAGGATTACAGGGGTGCACCATCAAACCAGCAGGTGTGTGTTTTTAAGACAACGGACACTTATCATCTTGTATATTAGGGTGAAGAAGTAGGAGGAGCTTGGCAGGGTGATTCTGACTCAGGGTCTCCCCACTGTGCTGGCCTCCTTCCGGGCCGGCCCTCAGAGACAGCAAGTTTCAGCACTCACTGGACATCTGTGCCGGGGTTGAAGCTGAAATCAACATGTCAGTCGAAGCTGCATTCATCTGAAGGCCCTTTTGGGAGCTAGAGCCAGTAAAGACCAGGGATTCCTTGTGGGCAGAACCCCTGGTACTCGGGATCGAACCCAGGGAACTCCTTCCCTGTATGACTTCACTCAACTTAAGTGGGTACAGTAGGCCACCTGTGGGCACTCAGACTGCCAGGAAAAGCTGGAGGGTGAGAGCGAGGGTGATGGGCTCTGTCTGATGCTGGGTGCTTTAATGATGAGCCTCAGGGTAGAGGGGAGGATGGCGGGTCCTATCCAAGAGAGGGACACCCACAGTCCCCTTTCTCATCCTGTGCACACAGCCTGCATAGTGCAGCTCCCCTGCAGTTACCCTGAGCTCTGCAACTGGGGTCTAGCTCTGGGGTGTGGACAGATGATAGATGACATGGAATACAGTACACCATCTTCCTCACCTGCTTCATAGCCAGAGAGAAAACACGCAGCTGAAGACTCAAGGAAGTTGGTTAGACGTTAGAAGGGACCTGGGCCCCTGAGTCACTGGGGACACAGCCTTCCTTGAAGGGCCCATTGACCCACTTCAGACTGTCCCAGGGGAAAAGTGTCGTATGGCACTGAGCTCCTGTAATTGTTATGGCAGTGTTGCCTGCTGCTGAAGACTTTTTAAAAAATTAAAGCTAAAATCATTACTTGTGCAAAGTGAGACAAAACAAACGTGTTAAGGATTTTTACTTCCTTGGTTTTTTATTTGTTGGTTGGTTGGTTCTGGGGGTTGGACTCAGGGGTGCATTACCACTGACCTACATCTCCAGTACTCATTTTGAGACAGGGTCTCACTCAGTTGACGATGCTGTCCTTGAATATGAAATCCTCCTGCCTCAGCCTCTCCATTAGCTGGGATAATAGGTGTATGCCACCAACCTGGTGGATTTTTACTTATTGACTAGAGAAATAGTAAGATGTCTGCAATTCTTTGAAGATGGAGGAAGGGACCACAAGCCAAAGAATACAAGGAAAGCAGCTAAACCCATTGGAAAAGGCAAGAAAAGTGGTTCTCCCCAGAGCCTTAGTGGGAGCTCAGCTGAAATCAACTGTGTGTGTGTGTGTGTGGGGGGGGGGGGGGGTTGGGGACTGAACCCAGGGTCTGAGGATATCTTGATTTCAGCCTAGTGATGTTCATGTCAGGCTTCTGGCCCCAGAACTGTGTGTGTGTGGGGGGAAATACATTGTTTTTTGGTACTGGGATGGAACCCAGGAACCTTACCACTGAGCACAGGGTACAGTAAACTGCAGAGGCTGGCTTCAATTCACAGTCCTTTACTTTAGGCCTCGAGTGTCTGGGATTACAGACAGGCATCATCAAGGCCCGACACATTACGGTTGTCTTAAGTCATTGAGTTCGTGGTAATTTGCTACAGCACAGGAAACGTTTCTCTTCCCTATGTGGACTCCATCCACTCCCTTAATAGGTTCTCCCCTCTTAAGCTGAAGAAGGCTGCAGCGGTTCCAGCTGATGTGCTCAGAGCTTCAAGTTCTACAGGAAATGGAGGCGCCCGCAGAATCCTCGGCCCCAGATGCTCACAGGTGCACGTCTTTCGTTGAGCGATGTTTGGCTGGGCCGTGGGCCCACACTCGTCTGAGCCACCAGGACTGGGAGTGGGGGCTGCCCGGGGGAAACAAAGCTCCAGGGGCGAGGAGACGGACTCAGCGGGGACGCGCAGTCCCCCCCACTGGCCGGCCAGCGCCTGGTGGGAAGCAGCCGCCAGCGGCCGAGACGGTGCGGGGTGGCGCTGGCCGGGGTCCCGCGCCGTCTCAGCTCCGAGGGGGCGGGCGCAGGTCTCCTCGGAGAGCCTGTGCCGTCACTCAGTCCGGGGAGCCGGGCTCGGCCAGGACGCTGAGTGAGGCGGACGGCCGCCGGGCTCGGGGCCGGAGGAGCCTCTCCGAGACCACCGAGAACCCGGCCGCCGCGGCGCCCAGAGCGGCCCGGAAGTGGGGCTCAGGCGGAAGCGCCGGGCCTGGCGCGCTGCGGGGCTGGACGGGCGGGTCCTCTCGGCGCACCCTTCCTCTTCGTGCGTTAGTTCGCTCTCGCGTCCCCAGTCCCCGGCTCCGGGCCCTCCCGGTCCCTGGCCGCGCCTCACTCCTGGCTCGCTCGCCTGCCATGGCGCCTGGGCAGTGCCAGCCGCGCTGTTCCTTCGGCCCAGGCGTTGGTGGCCGCGGGAGGACCGGCCTGCGGGAACCCGAAGGGGAGGTGGGGGTCCCAGTTAGGGGGAGTGGCCAGTAGGAACCGAAGGGCCCACCCGGGCCTGGAGGTGCTCTCCCGGGAAGGGCTGGCGGCTGTGCCCGCCTTGTGTCCCCCGCAGGGAAGCCCTGGGCCCCACACGACTCTATGGGAAGAGAAGTCGTGAACCCACTCGACTCTCCAGGGTGACAGAACAACAGCTACGGTGAGAAAAAAACGTGAAGCCTGTCCCCTGTGCACCTACGGCCCCAGGCGAAAGCCCCCTGCCCAGTTAAACCCTGGAAGTGCTCAGCGTGCGTCGCGAACACCGAGTCCTAAAATCCTGAAAGGAGGGTCTCTGGAAAACCAGCTGAAACCTAAACGGCCGGCGCGGTGGCCCACGCAGCTCTAATCCCAGCGGCCCAGGAGGCTGAAGCAGGAGGATTGCAAGTTTCAGGCCAGCCTCAGCAACTTAACGTGGCCTTGTCTCAAAATAAAAAGTAAAAAGGTCTGGAGATGTGGCTCAATGCTTAAGCACCCCTGGGTTCAATCCCCAGTACCAAAACACCACCACCAACAAAAAACCTAAATGGAAGGGACCCTGCCTAGTAATCCTGGCCACCTCCACAGTTGTTAAGGTCACATAAATCAGCAGCCGCATACATCACTCAAAGAGTGAAGATAGCTCCTGCTTCTCCTGAGTCAGGACTGGATTTGCAGACCCCCTTCAGTGAGCCAATTGAGGACCTCAAGCTACTCTTTAGTACAATCACTTAAGGATTAGCTGAGTATTTTAACAAGGTAATAACTATTTTGTCTTATCTATAACCAAACTTACTCATTGTCTCTGCAATGCTGACCATAAAACCTTCCAACCAAGGTGTAGGGATCTCCTTCCCAGGACTAAACCTCACCCTTTGGTCAGTAATTGGCTCAAGTCAGCCTCTAAGAGATCTTTAGATCTAACATATTTGTTTAAAACTTTACAATTGATCCCATATAATTCCTGACCCGAAATGCAGACCAGAGTTGTGCCTCTGGATGTGATCATGCGATGGAAATGTGTCATAAAAGGCCAGGTACTCCAGGGGTTGCAAAAACTAGAATAGGCAAAGGACTTGCATCAATATCAGGACTGAAATACATTAATGTGGGTGATTTAGCTTGAGAAGGGTAGTTATATAATGACTGATGAAGAATATGATTGTCCCATTTTAGATGAAGATAGAATAGTTGATGAGTTAGAAAACCAAATGAGAGAAGGTGAAACTGTTGTAGGGATAGATGAGGCAAGGCACCGAGGACAGCAGGAAACAGTTTTATTTGGCTGCAGCCATGTTCAGAGGGCACAGCTTTTGCTGTAATCCGTTAATCCCCTGAACCCCGAGTTCCTGTAGTTTCAGAGTTTTACACCCAGCATGTAAGGGGAGGGGCTCAGAAGTTCACAGTCTGCAGAAGTCCACATAAAAGCAGCTTTTTCTTTCACTGTTTTGGGCAAGTTAACCCTCCAAGGACAACACCTGAGAAGGGGGGAGCTTCTTCTCCCCTCTCTTTCCTCCCCCTGCCAGCTATTACAATGGAGCCCAACTGGCAACTTCTCTTATCTTAAAAATGTAGACATCTCTGTGAAGCCCAGCTCAAGGCCAGAGGCCTTGTTTGCACATTTCTACAAACTACTATACTGGATACGTTTGAAAAACTAGTAAGGGGTGTCCAGAACCTGGAGTGCTGGTATTCTCAGCCAGTGGCCAAATAAACAGGGCAACACGAAAATAGGAAGTTTATCTACATTGGACTCTTTTGCAGAGACTCTTTTGCTGACAGTCCTAAAATCAGCCATGGTGAAGATTTCTGGAGAAGACAAGACTTTTCTGTGGAGAAAGGGGGTGCCACTTTAAAACTATTGTTGATTACCATAGTTGTGATTTCTTCCTTGGACACTGGTTTCACATAGTTTTTGTGTTGAGAACAGATAACAGTTTATTGTACAAAAGACTTGAAACAAGGGTTTATGTGGTGAGAAGAAATTAAAAGATAACATTCAGTGTGAGATTTTTCAAGTTCTCTGTGAAGAAGCCATAGCATCCTACAGAAGAAATTGTGCATCAACTGTCCAGCAATAAACCAGAACTAGAATAATATAGATCACATCTTGAAATGGATTGAGCAGTGGGTTAGAGATAATAGCACTTGACTGGCCACTTTACAGTCACTCTTATTGATTTCTTTCTGTCCACTTCATAGAAATTGTCCACATACCAGTAAATATTAAAATCATGTTGCAGTCCTAGCAGGTGCACATGCCTGGGTCTCTTTTTCTCTACATGAAAGCTAAACAATCTCAAGTATAATGAACATAATATTAAAAGTAAAAATTGTCATTTAATGCTTTAGTTACTAAATAAATATGACCAAAGAGGTAGGTATCTTTTATGCTTATTATAGAAGATACAGATGATTTATTAAAGTAAAAAGTAAAGCAAAAAAGAAAAACTTTACACCTTACCCACTGTCTTTTAAATTTGTCTAACCCAGGGTTGGCCAAGGACTGCTGGATTTACCTGTCTGCAGCTCCACAGATAATATTGCCATTCCAGGCCATGTGTATCCATCCTAAATATCAAGGTGGTCATCCATTCCAGCTAATGACTTTTGATGATTTATACTAATTTAAAATCACAGGTACTACTAAACACAATGACTGCAAGGGCAATTCAACTCCTTCAGTACTAAGACTTCATCTTGCCTGCCAATATAGGGGCTTATTACAACCCAAATGAGGCTCAAGTTCCAGGCGCCCCTCTATCTGGAGGGAGCAGAGGGCACAACTAGGGGAAATTAGAAGACCATTTTTGCAACCACACCTTAATAATTACCCCCTCAGACAACCACGCTAATTATGCAGAGGCCCAATATGCCCCCTTTAAACAAACAGTACAGTCTTCTGAAAACCAACCTTGAAAAGTATTAATTATTAAACAGAAACTTAGGCTACAGCCAGGACAGACTTTCTGCTGGCACAGTATCTTCCCTTGGGAGACTTGTTCCAACCCTATCCCTGCAGAATGCTTGCTAATCCTCGGATATGAAAACTTGACTGTGGAGTCTCATTGACATAAAAAGAAATTTCTTGGGCTGGGGATTTAGCTCAGTTGGTAGAGTGCTTTCCTTGCATGTACAAGGCCAAGGGTTTGATCCTCATCACCAGGAAAAAAAAAAAAGACCTTAGGGGCAACCCTAGACCAGTCCCATGGTCCCTTCCAGCCTCTGACAGGGGCTACATTAACTGGAACCCTATTCACATGGGGATTTGAAAATAAAAAAACTAACTTACATGTTCATTATTGAAACTAGTTTCTTTGTTGAACAAATTCCTACTTGTGCCTACCAGCTCACTGGACAGGAACGTGTACACTAGTCTATCTAGCATAGCCCCTAGTAATAAGACTCTAATCACACCTTTCACATCATCCATTAGAGCTAAGCAGGATATACAACTAATTCCTTTCCAGGTGGGATTAGGAATAACTGCTGGAGTGGGTACAGAGATAGGAGAACAATCTTCTCCCCTCTCCTATTTTCAAGTTTTGTCTGAAGATCTAATAGCCTCAGGGGCAGAGAGCAAGCCAGGCAAGTGGGTGGCAAAGGCCTTCAGGACACGGAGAGGGGGAGCCAGCCTGGGCTGAGGAGGAGAGTGGTGGGGGTGCGTGTGTGCATGGTGTTGCACAGGATAAGTGCACTCCAGCACTTCCCGTGTCCTAAAGCCTTTGGATTCTCCTCATTACACCACAGCAGCTCTGGAAGTCGTCTCATTGAATTTGGGCCACCATGGAGTCCAGTTATCAGCCAGACTACTAAACAAACTTGATCTTCAAGCTGCAAGAGCTAACAACTATGACGCGTCTTGTAAGTTATCCCATATGAATCAAGAGGATCCAGGGATGGAAACTGTGATGCACACCCGCAACTCCAGCTACATGGGAGCCGAGGTGGAAAAGTCACAAGTTCAAGGCCAGCCTCAGCAACTTAGCAAGACTCGGTCTCAAAGTAAAAACAGCTGGGGGTGGGGAGTGTATCACAATGGTAGTGCTTGCCTAGCGTGTTCAAGGTCCTAAGTTCACTCCCCAGAACTGGGAGGGAAATAATAGTTGATCCTGGCTCTTACGGCTTGGATATGAGGCATCCCCCAAAGCCTCTGTGTAGGAATACTCAGAAGCAAAGTGACAAAATCACGAGAGCGGCAGCCTAATGACAAGCTGATTAACAGGCCCATGTTGTATCCCGTCTTCTTTGGTAAGTACCCTTAGATGTCACATCTATTCCCCAGTTTATGCTAATTACAGGAGTGAGGCTTTGCAGCTCTACTGGGGTGTGATTGGGGTCCTCCAGAGTCAGCTTTCACACTCATCTCCCCAGAGCACCAGGCTCAGCAAAGGTCTCGGGGTTGGGGAGGGCGGGCTGTAGGTCATGGGGCCCTCACAAGGCACCTCCCATGGGTGGCCTACACGACCGTAGGCTAGTTACTGGGGAACTTGGGCAGCCTAGGTAGTGTCCACAGCTGTGTCACCAGGAGAGGCTGGAGACACAGGTTTGAGCTGAGTGTCCTGAGTAACAGGTGGGACTTGATGGAGAAGTGGCAGCCCCCAGGCTTCCAGACAACCCAAGTAATTCACAGGGTCCCCCACCTCTGGGTCACTGTGGGGTGTGGCTCATGAGGGCAGGAGAGGACTCCACATTTCTTCTCCGAAAAGGACCCTAGTGCTGTGCATATGGATCACCAGTTATCCATTAATAGTACTATTGCTCAAGCCATGGTGGCTCCTGTAAGGTTCATCCTTGTCCCCAGTCCCAAAGCCTCTGTCCCTGCCTTTTGGGAAAGACAAACAAGGGAAGAGGTCAGTGCCCCAAGCCACCTGCCACTCTATACAACACCACACTCGTAGGCAGTGGAGTGCGGGGTCACCACCATGTCTGTGCTGGTGGCCTCCCTGCTGCTCTGGGGTAAGGCATTGGGGTCTGGGCTACCCTGGGACAGGGCTATGTGAATGGAGCATCATGGGTGCTGTCTCTGCAGGTCTCACCCTGGACCCAGCAACCAAGGCAGCCGTGGGTAAGTGCAGGGCTGGGGCCTGGGGGACAGGGGGCCCCCCCAACTGTGGGGAGCCCCTGTCCCCCAGCACCAAGTTGACCTAGCGTCCCCTGCCCCAGTATTTGAGACCAAACCCAGCCTGTGGGCAGAGCCAGAATCGCTGCTGGAACCCTGGGCCAACGTGACCCTGCGGTGCCAGGCCCGGCGGGCCACCCTGGACTTCCAGCTGCTCAAGGGTGGGGTGATGCAGGAGCTCGTGCACCTGAGCGCACCCACCATGGAGCACCAGTTCCCGCTGGGAGCAGTGACCAATGACCACCAGGGCCTCTACCGCTGCCGCTCAAGGCTTAGGGATGGGCGATGGACCGCACTGAGCAACCTCCTGGAAGTGACAGGGACAGGTGTGCAGGGCTGAGGATGGAGTCCAGGAGGCAGTGGGGCGGAAGCTGATGGGCAGTCTCCCTGCAAGTCACCTGGCTTCTGAGCCCGCTTCCCATCTGTCCCCTCCCCAGAGGGCTGAGAATAAATGGCTGAATCCCCCGAGAGGGCTCAGGGCCCGTCCCTCCAGGCTTGCTCTTGCCTCCCTTAAAAATATGCTCCACCTACCTGGGTCCCTCCCCTTTTCAGAGTATGGGGTCCAGGTCCAGGTGAGCCACCCGGGTCCGAGTCAGGCAGAACCACTCCCCCCCCCCCCCGCCTCTTCCACAGAGCCCTTGCCCCCACCTTGGCTCTCCACGGAGCCGGTGCCCTGGATCACACCCGGCCTGAACACCACTCTGCTGTGTCACGGGGGGCTGTTGGGTGTCACCTTCCTGCTGAGGCGGGAAGGCGACGATGAATTTTTGGAGGTGGCTGAGGCCGGGCAGGGCAGAGAGGTCACTTTCCCAGTCCATCGGGCCGGCAATTACAGCTGCAGCTACCGGACCCACACCGCAGGTGACCCCTCTGAGCCCAGCGCCACTGTGAGCATCGAGGAGATGAGTGAGTGTTGACCCCCCAACACTGAGACCCCGCGCGGGGCGTGGGAATTCAGAGAAGGAAGGTTGCTCCTGAGGCTGCTGGGCAGACTGGCGCCACCGCAGCGACCTCTCTGCCTCGCAGCCACGCCTCCGCCGCCAAGTTTAAATGCACAGTTCCCCGAGGTCCTGCGCCCCGGCGACCGCGCGACCCTCATCTGCGTGGCGCCCCTGGACGGCGTTCACTTTCAGCTGCGGCGGCGCGGAGAGGAGTTGCTGGTCCCCAGGAGCAGCACCAGCCCGGACCGCGTCTTCTTCCACCTGAACGCGGCGGACACGGGGGACAGCGGTCCCTACACCTGCCGCTACCGGCTGCGCTCCGAGGAAGCCGCCTGGTCCGCGGACAGCGCGCCCACGGAGCTGGTGTGGAGCGACGGTGAGTCAGGCGACCGGCGGGCGCACGTGGCCCTCCCGGAGCCCGAGGGAGAGGTGGGACCTGCGGAAGCGCCTTGCAGATGGTCCACGCGGCAACACCCAGGCCCCGCTGGGAATGACTGGGTCAGGCGGCGGGTGTGGCAGGAGCCATCTGTCCCGGGGCCAGGGCGGGCGGCGGGCATCGAGCCCCGGGGCCGCAAGTCCAGGCTCGCTGAGGCTCACACCGTGGGCCCTGGACCGCGAGCCCCAGGAGCGAGTTCCCGGGCGCCGCAGACCCCGCGGTGCCAGCCCCCGACCGAGGGCCGTCGGGCCCCGGGCGCCAAGCCGCCTCCTGGGAGCCGGTGTTCCTGGACGGGGAAGCGCTGTGCGCTTGGCGGCAGGCGGTCCTTCGCGCGGCGGGATGTCTATAGCGGGAGCTGGGTCCCGGCAAAGGCAGGGACAGCTCGAGGCCCAGCCGCCCTCGGCCAGGTCAGCCTCCTTCTCTTCCATAGAGACGCTGCCCGCGCCGGTGCTCGTGGTGGAGCCGGAGGGCACAAGCCCTGCGACCGGCTCGCTCGTGCGGCTGCGGTGCCGCGCGCCCCGGGCGGGGCTGCGCTTCGCGCTGAATCGCGAGGGCGCGGGCGGGCTGCGCCTGAGTGGCCTGCTGAGCCCCGCGGGGCCAGAGGCCGTCTTCGAGCTGCCCGAGGTGTCAGCCGCGGACACGGCCAACTATAGCTGCATCTACGTGGACCCGACGCCGCCCTTCGCGGGCTCGGCACCCAGCGTGCCTCTGGAACTGCGCGTAGACGGTGAGCACGGCGCGGGCAGGGC